CAGGCAGTAGCAGTAACTTGTCCACAGTCGAGTTAAGGGCTTCTTCAGGTTTACGCTGAGGGCCTCTACAGAGATCCAGGTTTGAGAAATGAGCCCAGCATAAACTTAAGGTAAATATGGATTAATGGCAGTTTGAAGTTTTTTAACCCTAAGCCCCACTGCATTTCTATACGCAGACTTCTACAGGCAGACACATGATGTCATTTTGTCTTACCACATCATAGAGAGCCAGATGTAGATCTATAACCAGGGTTTACGGTTTGTGCCGCATCATTGCATTTATGTGAAATTATACTCTGGCACAAAAACTCGAAAGGATTTGTTTTCCTTTCTCTCTAATTGCTTATAAAAATCTGGGGATGCCAAATTATGGTCTTGTCTAGAGCGCCAGATTGGCAAGAACAAGCTCAGAGTCTGAAACCCTAAGAAAGACAAGCTCTTCTCTGAGCTTTGCAGTTGACACACTTTTAACAATATATATGAGGAAATTGTCTTTCAACTGTGTCTCAAAACCAGCCTAAGGTAATCCTACATAAATTAACATTTTTGCCACAGTGTCAACAAGCAGAGCCATGATTGTCAGACTACTTTCTGCAGATTGATACAATCATCATGATAGATAGGCTTCAAGCTTTCCTTTCACAGTGCTATCTAAATCAAAATGACCACAGAGTGACTGCCAAACCCGTCAGCGAGACAGCGAGACCCCTTTGGAAGCGTGACACTGATCATGATCAGGTAAATGACTTTACCTTAAGCTTTCCTGAGGCCGTGCTTGGATTTGTGAAGATGTTATCGCTGACTGGGCAGGAAAATCATCATAAGACATAAGGATGACTTTAAAAAGAAAAAGTGTTTGCTCAGTTCGCCTTGAGTATAACATCACAAATCTCTTAGAAACATAGAACCAATTGGAGGAGATATCATGCCCCAGAATTTTCCTCATGGACAGATTTGCTGATTTTTTTAACAGGATTGCTCAACTAACTACAGCTGAATTTGGACTTAAACTCATTCCTTTGAAAAATGACCTGTCACCCTGTTACGTGCAGTTTCAAAAACCTTATTTGACTTTAATCTCTCCAGCTTAATTATAAGAACTCTCCATCATATACAAACACTTAATATATTCTTCTCTGAAGGCCAGTAATTAAAATTTGTCCTCACAGAGATAGGACAAAAACACAGAAACACATATAGATGATCAGGATACCTGCTACCTAAAATGATGCGCTGAGCTGGGAGGCACAATTATGACTAGCTGCTTTCTCGGCCCTCTATCCACTAGCCAATCAAATTGGATGATGATTATCATATCAGCGATAAGCTCCTTAGAGCACTTTTAGAAAACTTTCCTCTGTTGACCGCTAGTCTCTTTTTTCTCTATCTTCCTCTGTGTGCTTCTCTCCACTCTCTCTCTCTGGTCACCTCTTTTACATTTTCCCCTCATCTTTCCTTTCATCTCCCTCTCTTTTACTCTCACCTTTCCTTCCCAGAAGAGGGCCCCTAAACTTCTGGTGCATCTGGGATTTTACTTGGAAATGTCATATCATGGTTGATGTTATCCATCACAGTCATGCAAGAGCTGCATTTGAACATTAACATTCTTGGCTGATATGTGATTTGAGCACAACATGAGAGCTGAATTGTGATGAAACTACATGATGCGTTCTGGCTTATCTTCAGACTTGTGCCTTTGACCCTCTTTTTCTGGAAATTTGGGAGCTTTAGCAAGCTGAGCATGTCTAAGGTTCATGTTTGGTCATTTCTGTATTTTTATATTCAGTACACTTCAGTTATAAACTTCAGATTTTCAAGAAGTACAACGTACAAACGCCTAACACTGGGTACTTGTATCCAGAATTTCTTGAATAAGAAGCAGATAGGTGAGGGTTGGAACATAGATCGACAGGTAAATTGAAACCTTTGTCTTCCAGCTCAGCTCTCTCTTCACCACAACTGTCTGGTGTCGTACCGCTGATGCTGCACCAATCCTACTATCCACCCTCCGGTCCATCCTTTACCAGCTGAGAACCATGGTCTTGCAATTGGAGGTACTGACTCTCATCCCAGCCGCTTTGCACTCACACAGCAAACCACCCAATGCCTGCTGGAGGTCCCAGCCTGAAGAAGCCAAAAGTTCCATGTCATCTGCAAAGAACAGAGATGGAATCCTGAGGCCCCCAAACACCTGGCTACACCTGAGAGCCTGTCCATGAAAATCAGACATGGGTTAAGGGGCAACCCCAGTGAAGACCATCACACAACAGGTCTTGACAAGGATTGACTGGTGTGCAGTAGGCTAATAGCTGTTGAACTCCATAGTCCTGTATGCCTTCTCCAGAAACCCTAACCCAAGACCAATTTATGAGTCTGTTAATTTCCTTTGTCTCGAGTTGGTCCAAAACTTCAGCAGTATCCTCTACCATCGGTTACGTGAAATCAGACACAGATTCAAAGTTTCAATACTGCTGTAAACTTTTGTTATTGTAACTTCAGTTCATTACTGTCATTGAAATACAATATGTCAGTTTGAGGCTTGTTTAATGGCTGACAAAGTTAGAGCTTTCACTGAACATAATTTAATAACTTTAAATGTTATTAAATGTAAATGGTAAATGTGTTTTTCGCATGCTGTAATTACACAGAATGGGATTTTACATGCTTAAAAAACTGAATAGAAGAGCACAGTTTGTTCTGGTAACATTAATTGTTGATAAGAATGCAAACTAGATGTCTTATCTTCATCTGAAAAAGAAACGCCTTTACATTTAGTGGGTTTGAATCAAAGGTTTGATTGATGATTTTGATTAGGAACTATAATGGGACAGCTAGGTAAGGAGGACCTTTTTGATATCGATTAAATTTTGGACCTGTAAAACTGTCATACCATTGCATCAAAGTCAAAGTCTCGCTGGTCATGAAGGAAGTCTTCACAAGTGACCCCTCTATCCATGCACACTAACTATTTGACCAGACACCAGATTAATCAAAGTCTCAGAAAAGAAAATTGCAGGATTGTGTTTATCCAGAGCCTGCTGAATGTGCCTCACAATATTTGTCATTTAAAGTAATCTTCATATTTTGCTGCCTGGTGGGTCTGAGAAGAGGTACCTAAGCGTAAAAAATTGTATTTACACCCCTTCATTAATTTTCAATGAAGGTAAATGTTAAGCTTGTTTGGTGGAGCCAGCACACAGAAGAACAGCCTGGGAGAAAAATTGATTTCTGGCTGTTGTGTTATGAGTGTGTGTCTGTGTGTGTGTGTGTGTTTGTGTGTATTTGTGTGTGTGTGTGTGTGTGTGTCTGTGTGTGTGTGTGTGTGTTTCTGTGTGTGTGTGTGTGTGAGAGAGAGAGAGAGAGCGATTTCAATGTTTTTGTCGTATCATGTGTTTCGATCCCAAATTGAGACAACAACAACATTTGTTTTACAAGTAAAGGTAAAACATGATATTATGAGTCGGACCCCTTATAACTACTGAATATATAACTGAACTTGTTTTAGTTTACATGTGAGGACTTATTTTTCCACTGTCTCAAGGACATGTGCCCATCACGAGACAAAACTAGGTTTATACTCATTGTAATACAGTATACCAGGCCACCTAAAGTAGCTTGCTGTATGATTCAACAGACACAACATTTGTACGTCATGTTCAATGGTTGTTCACAGCTGAGTTTTTTACTTTCATCAACAGTTGCATTTTTTAAGGCAGGCTTCTCGCCAGAGGCTCAGAAAAAGGCCATCAATAACAAGAGTACAAAATTTGATCCCATTCATACATTTGCATGTCATGTTTAATATTTGTTTGAAGTTGATTTTTTGAAAAACTGAGGGCCCTAGTTTACAGAGCGTTAGCTTCAACAAGTTTCTTAATCTTTTTTATCCCCTTTCCATGATCCAGACTTAGGGCTGGGCGATACGGCCTCAAATCAATATCACGATATATTGAGCAGTTTGCCTCGATAACGATAAATGGATGATAACTACTCCACAAGCTGCTCACCCCCTCCCACATAAACTTAGTCTACTTCAGCCGCTACAACTTTTGAACTGTCTTCCATCTCCTCACCTGTCTTTCCCTCTTTGTTCTCATCTCTGATGTAGGACAGCGTCTCATAGGGACATGAGACCATAGCCTACCTACACACATCCAAAACCAACTTTTATTTATTTATTTATTTATTTGACACTGAATATGATATGGGCAAAATGACGTCGGTTATTGTCGCAATTTTTGGTATCGGTAAACTTTCAGTTTATCGCCCAGCCCTATCCAGACTTTATGCATAACTGAGTGGTTTTATCAAACCTACACCCTAATGTTTAATGTTTATGCTGTCTACCATTCATGACCACTCTCCCTGTGCACTAAGAAAGTATCTAGGCTTTGGGCTTGTGCATCATGCATGTTTTACTGCTCAATGCAATGATAGTAAAAAACAAAACAGTGCAGCTCTTTTTCTCAAGCTGGTCGATGCCATCTTGTTTTCCTCTGCAAGTGTGAGAAATGAGTCCGCATGTGGTGTGTTGAAGCATCGTCTGTTTGCACGTCTGCAGCCGTTCAAGTCCGTCCTGTGGTATGATCGAGGCTTAAGTTTTTAATGCATGTGTATGTTTGTTCAGGGGGTTGATGTGATCCTGGTGGTTGCTCAGCTTTTACTGTAATACCTAGCAGCATGCGATACAGCTCGTACATCTGTCAGATTCAAGACAGGCACGTCTCTCAGACTGTGTGTTCTCAGAGGTTTAGAGGAGGAGGAGACAGAAGACTAAAGGCACATTAACTTTTCAGTCAAGTAGTTCAAGATTTCGAGAAAATCAGGTTACCTTGTCTAGGATGACTTCTCTTTGGATGTTAGAAAGCAAAAACTCCTAGTTTATAAAACGTCCAATTTTGGTACCTCTCTTTTCTGTTATTGTATTAGTTTATTGGTCTTTTTTGTTGGTTCCAGCTCACAAGTGTTTAACTTAGTTTGTGCGCCAGCCTTTTAAACCCTCAGAGGAGCCAACGTGTCGCTAAAGTGCAGATATAATTGCCACACAGGCCATTAGAGATTGGCTAATCTCTGCCACAATACCACTCTGACATTTACAAAAGAAGCTCCACAGCATTGTTGAATGGTTACACAATTGTCATTATTATACTAAGTGAAACAGTGACAGGAAACTCTATAGACTCATTCCCTAATGTGACTAAATTTCTTCTTGTACATCTTTTATTCATAGAAATAAGAAGAGGAAAAACAGAGGGACATGTTGGCTGGTTATTTTGGTCCAAACGCCTGTCATTTACATGTTCACACCAAAACCACCCACCCCCACTAAGTCAGTGTCTCATTTGTCCCTTTTTATAAGCACTTATGAGTGTCTGTGAGACTGTGTGTTTGTGTCAGTGTGTCTGTGTGTGCGTGTATATCTGGCTTGGGCAGCTGATTCTCTCTGCCAGAAAATGTCCTGCAGCAAGAGTTTGGACTTGAGAAAGTGTCCGCTGCTCTGTCGATATGTGACACGCTGCCAAATCGGGCATGCAGCCACTTTCGATTAGCATGGTCCAATGCTGCCCGTTCACCGCAGCAGCATGGCCAGAAACTGATCGAGAGCGCTGAGAGAAACTTCATACTGCCAAAAGCAAGTTTGAGATGCTGCAAACAGTAAAAACAATAATAGAGAAATCATAATAAAATACGTGCCAGCCAGTAATTGTTGTTTGTTTGTTTGTGTGGTTGTTGTAGGCGAAAAAATTAGCCACAATTGGTGACATAGTGTGTCAATAATCTCTGAAATAAGGCAGAGGTTTTCCTGTTTGAAGACAGTGAGAGATGACATATCAAGGATTAAAGCTGAGAAGTCTGAACATATTTCCCTATTTTAAATGTGACACCAGCAATGTGTTCCCAAACAATTAGGACAGGGACAGCAAAACACTTAGAAGTTGTGTTATGTTAAAAATTCCTGGAGGAACATCTCTAAAGTTTTTCAATAAAATTAGTTTGTTACAGGTTAGTTATATGACTGAGCTATGGTCCTTGCTGCGGTGGTCGCTGACTCGACTTTCAGAGTCGACCCTTTGCTGCATGTCCTCCTCTGCTCTCGGAAGAAGGGATGGAGCAGAGGAGGACCCTGTTTTTAATCAATGCACAGGTCAAAAGCCAACATCAGTGCTAAACAATATACTCAGGACAAGAATGGGACATATCACTGTCAAACTACAGGAACTGGTCTCCTGGGTCTACAAAGATTTAGTGTGTTTTTAAAAAAACATCACATAAATTCACTATTCCTAAAATCAAAACCATTAAAATTCACTGACCTGGTTGACTTTAAAACAGCACAAATCATGTACAAAGCAATAAACAATCTACTGCTTGGAAATATCCAAAAAATTGTTTTTTGAACAGAACTAGGGGGTATCCTTTGAGGGGGGACTTAAACTTAAAGCATCAGCGGGCATGTATAACATTGAAAAGTTTTGGGGTTTCTGTTGGTGGAGTAAGGTGGTGGAACTGATTAGGTATGGAGCTCAAGCAATGACCAAGCATGGCCCAGTTTAAAAGGTGGTACAAACACATGATTCTCACCAGGTACGGGAAGGAGGAAGGGCTTAAACCTTAAGATGTTTTCATAAATCATTGATGTTCTTACTTATTTACTGTATTTATTTTGTACTTTTTGTAAATATAATGTAAAAATGTTGGAGAGACTGACCGTTAATTGAGTAGCAGATTATTGTTATTGTTGTTTTGAATATTGTCATTGGTTTGTTTGTTGTCAGTTTACTTTCTTGTGTTGCAAATGTTAAAAAAAAGTAAAATTATAATAAAAATAAATAAAAAGAAGAGGATATGCACCTCAATGGTACATGTCCATGTCCTAACTGTTTTAAAATGCGTCTCTGCTTGAGAAACAAACTGATACTGAAACTGGTGCTTTTTTATGACCTTTAGAAGCAAACAAGACTGAACGTTTCACTGTAGCAACTATAAACATTTAAAACTGATGTAAGAGGGGCTGATTCAGACCAGATGATTGACAGATAGACTGAAAACATGGGTTTGCCTCTTTACATGGCAAAAACTCGTAGTGTGTGATGAATTTTACTGATAAATGACAACAGAACAAGGTGCACAAACTGGGACAGGTTGAATCACACTGTAACGGTATGACAGGTCTGGCCAAGGACATCGTTATCCCCGTACTGAGCTCTTCCTGTTCCTTGACCCCTTGTGTATTGGACTGGATGCTACAGCAAGAGGTAGTTAGAGAGTTAGCAGGATGTTGTTGATATCAAACAGCAGTAAAAACCATTTATTAGTATGGGGAGACTTTGTGGAAAAACGAGATGTGTAGTTAACACAAATGTGCAAAAACAATCTGAATGGTCCTTAAATAATGGCTGCTCACATGATTATCTTCGTGTCTTTGTTCCTCCCCTGCTCTCCTCAAACTTCGCTGTATCAGCTAATAAAAGATCAAGTAATTCTCTCTCCCTATATTTCACTTATCTCTCCCATCTCCTCTCTCTACCTCCCTTCTTTGCTCTTTCTCTGTCGGTGTTTTGGCACCTCCCTCTCCTTTTCCGCTTCTTTCCATAACTCCCTCCATCACGCTGCCACTATTTAGGGGCTCAGTTAACAAGCCATTTAAGCCTCATCTTCTCTCCTCCCTAATCACACATGCAATATTCATACATGGCTGTCACTCACGCAGACACATTAGGGCTCTCATTCTTTCTCCGCTCTCTTCTTCCCACTCTTTTTTCTGATCCCCTAACCTCATCTCTTCATCCCCAACGCTCTCCTTCCTCTTCTCCTGCCCACTCTCATCGTTCTGTCTCCCGCTTCCATTTTCTCCCACTTCCTCTCTGCCTCTCCCTCCCTCTCACCCTTTCAATCTCCCCCTCTCTTCCCATCTGCGCACATAGAAAGACTGAGACGTCTTCAGTCTTTTCATGTGATTGACATGGAAGGACTGTGGTGGAAACTGTTTATCCTTTCATAGAGATGCTAAATTCAGAATCTGCTTATTGATAATAATCTGCTGTAATTCAGCCATGATGATACATTCAAATAACAAATACTCTTCTCATATGCAAGCATAAACCCAAAGGACCTGCTTGGTGTTTTAATTTGGCTGAATATTAAAGTCTGCATGCTTGGTTGCCTGCAAAATCTTTTGTTGATGTACCCGCCAACAGCATCCTAAGGAGGCAAAGTGTGGCTCTAAAAATGAGTCACAGTGCTGCAAACACTGGTGTAAACACGCTGCTCCAGTAGGTTATTATCAACAAGGTGCAGAGTGATAAAATACAAAACATCTACCCATCTGCAGCAAGTATTACAGGCCTTGTGTAAGGAGTGCTCACTATGACCTCACTTCGAGCCAAACCAATGCTCACTGCTCTCCTCATTGCAACAACAGCTTGAGTTTGTGTAATCAGAAGTTTGGTATCCTACAGTGATCCTGACTGAGGAAGATTTTGACGTTTTTTTTCTTACAGTTGGTGAAAAATAGTATGAAAAGGGACCTGGTTGGTGAGTGGGGCAGACTGTTGTTGCAGATGCCCTGCTGGTTTCTGCTGGTTCAGAAAGGTCCTGAAGAACTGTTGATACCAAGATTGTTCAGTTTAAGCACCTGCAACACCAGGAAATTTAGGATCTCTCCTTAGGATCACTTTAGCAGAGAAGTTTCTATTTACTATTATTTAGTTTGGTCGTTTTTTTGTCACTTTAAAACCCACAGACCCAAACAGATGATGAGTGTGCTGCAGGCAGAAGTGCAAACTGCGTTGCATCTAAAATCCCACTGAGCAATAGACGGCTATTAGACGTCTAGTTAGACGGAATTTAGATGTTGCATTTTAACCCATTAGTCAATAATTATTTATTTCAAAAAGCAACTGTGAGTTGCATAACTGATCTCCAAGTAATTAACCAAAATAATTATGATTAGCAATATACAGCGTAGACCTCTGTTAGCCAGCTAGTCTAAACTTAGTCTAAATTTAGATGTAAAGATAACTTTCATTTTTAGACTTGTTAGCCTGATTTTAGACCAGTTATCTAGGCTACATTTAGACGTCTATTAGACTTCTTCATGACCAGAAAATGCTCAGTGAGATTGTTGTAAAAAAAATTGGACTCTCTTAAAAATGCTGAAAAAATCTCTACTTTTGTGATCAAATGATCAAATGATAAGTCATCTTAAAAAGAGTACATGAATGACTCAGATCTGTTTGCATAAACTGTAGCCTAGCTTGCCTGTCGATTCTCCCTGCAGTTTCTCCTGAACTAGGCAGAGCTGACTAGCATATATGTACCCAGACTGTTTCCCTGTTGAAGTTTTCCTAAAGTATTTTCAGGTTTAAGGTTAAAACTTTGGGCTAACTGGAGTATGGCAGTTGTGTTGCTCTTAATTTATTTTTTAATTTTAATGTATTGGGTCACTGTTTAGCGGATTCTGTCACATTTTAATTGGTTAAAATTTCTCATTAAAAGCAATATTCAGACAACTGTGCCAGCTAATAAGTCTCCCTCGCTCGCTCTCTCTCCCCATTTCTCTTGTTCGCTCCCCGTTAACGGCACATTGCTAATCAGCACGAGTGTGGATGGGTATCCAAATGCAATCACAGACAATTATGCTCCTTGCTGTGCTTGTGTGCATTTGTGCCTATGTGTGTGCGTTTGTCTGTGTGTGCGTGTGTACGTTTTTAGACCATTAGGAAGTAACGCGCTGATTAGCCGTCAACTTTTACTGCCAGACACGCAGACAACAAACAAAAAGAGGCACAAGCACACACACACACACACTCGCAGCAGACACACACAAGCCACTGTGCATTCAGGATACTTGTCACAGTCACGGTCAGAACAGCAGGATACACTGCAGCTCAGTTGGTTAATAATAATATTAAGAAAAATTAAAGCTGGAAGCTATATTAGCTGAAGTCCTGTCATTAGCTGAATTTAGTATTTTTGTAAGTTTTTGGGTAACTTTTTTTCCACTTCCCTTTTCCTTTTACTGTATTTTTATGTTTGACTCTTACAGGCTTTATTCTGCAAGTTCAGCTGCAGTCATCCATTTCAGCAGCACTGCGTCTCATTGTGCTCGTGTAAATACTGAGCAGCCCAGTCCATTCTCACACAAGCTGACCCAGTTGTGTGACATGCTCGCCCACCATCTGCCACACTCTTTTATTGTTATTTATACGTTATTTTGGGATGGTGTGCGGAGTTATGGTAAAGAGGGAGTTCATAAGATAGAAGAGCTGCTATAGTTGGGGAAAAAGTTTGTGTCCTCGGAATGGTAATAAGACACATTTATTCTGCAACACAGCACAAAATGACCACTCTGAGTTATTGTATGTATGTGGTAATTTGTTATTGTTCGGAGATGGTGAGTCATGATACAGTGTGAGCCAAGATTTTTGGATTTCATAACTGAATCACCGGCTTGTATCCTGTTTTGAAACATTAGCTCCCCACCCAGTGGAATTCCAAGAATATGAATTCTTCTTGCCGCAACATACTGACGCCAACGATGCAATGACAGTTATCCCAAAATACCTGCAATTCTCTGGAGGTCAACGTGACATTTTTCCAACTACATGAACAAACTTCTGCAAACTGTATTTCCTTGATATTTTAGGGCATAATTTAGTACGGCGCCCCCTGTGGAAAAAATCCCTCAGCTTTGGACAATGTAAAAAAAAAAATTACTTTAACCGGTCATAAAGTGGCATCAATATGATTTTCATTTTGTTTCATAAGCATCTAAAAACTCCTCATTTGTTTGATCTATGTTTAATGATCTTGGGGTCTTTGAGGACATGACAGATGCACATATTTTTGCAGATGAATGTCCAAAGCAAATGGTCCAAAATAAAGTTTGTAGCTTTGCTGCAGGCGTGGTTGCAGCGCAGAAGGTGCTGCTGTTCTCCTCTCTTGGTGGACGTCTTGTTTAGCAATGAGGCTCTATGTTTCTAAAGTGGTACACATGTAGTACATTGTGATAATGAGCCTTAGTGAGCTCATTGAGCAGCTGTTGAGTGTAATTAGTATTTAATCTTGGAGAGGAGAGTGCTGTGAATATTCACACTTTGATCAACACAGCCAGCCCATCATCTCCTGTCCTCTCATTTCATTTTCTCCTTCCTTCCTTCATTTATTCAACTCCTCCTCCTCCTCCTCCTTTTTTCTCCTCCTTCTTCTCCCTGCCCCCATCCCCTTCCTCCTCCTCCTCTTTTTCCACTTGTTTGCGCTCCCAGAGGAGCATGAGCTGTTTGCATGTTAATGTGGGAAAAGCTCCCCTCCTTAATTCTTCTCTCTGCTTGCGTGTTTATTCCTTCACACACTCTCTCTCTTTGCTTATTTTTGTCTCTGAGGTAATTTTATAGCTTTATTATGAAATTGTATAATCAGTATGATAATATATTTACGCCCCAAAGGCCGGGATGTACCACTCAGTCGTAACTTGTGCCCTGTGGAGACCTGTAATCTTCACAGCTTTTTTGAAACTCGTAAAAACGACAAGAAAAAAGATTTTCCACCGAAGCACACCACTGACATGTTCTTTCTTTTCTTCTGTGTCGCTTGTGGTGATCTTGGGGCCTGCAACAATCTTTGAACGTACTACAGAGGAACTGTCGCAGCAGTCAGTTACAGTGGAAAACAACAACAACCCAGAGAAGAAACTTGTATTTTCTTGAATTTCTAAGGAGAAAAATCTGCAAGTCAGATCCCGTCACAAAGAATTTATACAGTTTGGACCTTTGGCAGACGTGTTAAAAAACAGAGGTTACATGATGATTGATACTGTGCATTGTAAATCTTTTAGTAATTCAATAGTTTCTTGGTTTAAGGAACAAGGGATCCAACAGTGATTTGTGCCACAATGCTAATCAGTAAAGGCATTCAAATGCAATCACTGACAATTATAGCCTGCTGAAAGTGTGTTATTCTGCGGATAAGTTAGTGCATGTGTGTATGTGTGTGTTTGATTAGCCAGTGTCTCGCTGATTAGTCATCAATCCTCATGGTGCCAAACTGACTGTCAGCGAGACAACAAGCAGAAATCAAGAGCCACTTTATGCTTTGCTTATATAAATCCATACATATACGTCAAGGCTTCTTAAAACTCGACTCCATCTGTGTGAATTCATCTCTGGTGGGTTTGTTTATCATGAGATTGATCAGTGTTTTTTCCAGTTTTTTCTACTCATCCCCATGTGGCACTTTGATCTTTTGTTTTTCTTCACACACGGCTTTTTAATCGTTATTATCTTCAACTTAGATTTATATAGCAAACGCACCCTGTGTGGAGCGCTAATTATGACGTCCCTAGCGTTATTCAACTCTGCTGCTTTGCATGTTTGCATGCTTGTGTGCCCACTTTCATATTTTTCCTGTGCAAAGCAGCATGCAAATCTGTGTTTTAGTATTTCGCTTATTGTTATTCAGTCACTGCAGGTGATTTCTATGTTTGCCATTATTTTCAGTGCTGTTCAGCTCACGGCTAAAACAACAGAGTGAGGGCTGCTACAGTGAAATAAAAAACAGTGGGATTAGTGTGGACAGAGAGACAGAAGCCAGTGTGAGGAGGGGATGCTGGCTGTAAAGTGACAGCATCTGCATGAAAATTAAAAAAATAATAATTAACATTTGCTGGCCTGTCCCCTGTAATTTTGTGTACCCTCAGTAATGATGATTAGTATTTGTGTTGCTAACACTTGTTTGTTACAGAGCGGCTGTGATTCATTAATGTGCAAATGTTGCATTGCAGTGCTGAGGCAGAATTCATCTCAGATTTTCCTCCCAAATACTTTGCATTCCTTTACCTTTCTAATGCAATAGATTAACATCCAAGGGCAGATTAATTACAAAGCAAAAGGATGTGGAAGCGGGTACACTCATGCCTTTGGGCATAAACCTGTCTCTTGGTACCTTTTTGAGATGGATTTAACCATAGCCCTCTTTAAACATGCACTCCTGAAAATACTTGGAAGTTTCAGCTTAGCCAACCTCTGAAATGTTTTAAATCTCTGCATATCTGCAGAAGTTGCTGTGCAAGGTTTAACTGATATCGAAGATGGAGGGTGAAGCAGAGTCGGATACTATAACTATAAGTAAAAAACAAAACAAAAAACAAGGCTTTATGAAAAGAAAATAATAATAGTAATAATAAATATATTTTTTTTTTATAAAATCAAAGACAAGCCTAACAGGCAATAATAATTATTTGAAGAGTGGAAAAAAAAGACACACAATGGTGAGTTGGATCAAGAATGAAGCAACATGCGTTTTGATGAAAATACTGACTCAATTAGAGTGTAAATTTGACCTACAGAAAAGTATTTTAACTCTGTGACATAAAAAATGTAATTTGATTTAAAAGTACATTTTTATCAGAGGCAGTCAATCTTTTCAGGCTTATATAATGTCCTGTACAATGTCAAAACTTAAAGGTGGGGTAGGCAGGAATCTGTTGAAGAAGCATCTGTTTTTGTGGTGTATTTACAAAAAAGCTTTTAATATCAGTCAGTAGTATTGTTCATTTATGAAATTTGGGAATATTATGATTTTGCTGTGTTTTGTTGTGTCTGTGTAGGCAACATTTTAAAATTTTTTGGGCGTCCTGCTCTTTCTGATTGTAAACAAAGCCATTCTCCGCCTCCCCCAACCTGATTGGTTGTGAGGCAGACCCTGCTCCCTCGTGTTGTGAGTGTTACGGCCCACCCTTAGGCGGCCCTATGGGGCAAACAACTATCCTCAACTTTTTACCCATCAAATTAACAAACACCTTCAAATGTTTAACAAGTGATTTAATGTGACAACATAACAAAATTGCAAAGTAAACACAAAGCACCCACAACACAAAGGAGAGGCATTTGGTGGGGAACTGCTGCCCTGCTGCCTCTCATTTGTGTTGTGGGTGCTTTGTGTTTACTTTGCAATTTTGTTATGTTGTCACATTAAATCACTTGTTAAACATTTGAAGGTGTTTGTTAATTTGATGGGTAAAAAGTTGAGGATAGTTGTTCGCCCCGTAGGGCTGCCTTCAGGTAGGGCGTAACATGAGGCACGCTCCATGCCCTCAAATAAAATTCAAGAGCCCTAATGCTAACAAAAGTTAGCATGCTACAACATCGCACGGTAGAAACCAACTAGAAAGTAGGAAAATTTTCTGAATCCTCCTTTGACCACAACTACCGACACAAGCAAGAAAACGAAGTAAATACCGGAGACTCTGGTGGAATAACAGCGCTTAAAACAGATTTAGACAGGACAAGAGTTAAAAGCTGGGTCAACATCAATGAAGCATAAATGCTTAAGGGACGCTTTGGGGTGTTATGGGCCCTGTAACCTTTCTGCTGGACAGGTAAACCGCTTCAACGAAGTAAGCCAAGTGTAACAGAAGTGTTTCTTGTCAAACGGGACCTGCTGCGTGTTGTAGCGCTGCCACCATTGGTCTTCCTTGTACGGAGCCCCTAAAGGGACATGGATGGACTTTTTTTTTTTGCGAGATCTCGCAAAAGTATTGCAAGAGCTCGCAATAAGTATTGCGAGATCTCGCAAAAGTATTGCGAGAGCTCGCAATAAGTATTGCGAGCTCTCGCAAAAGTATTGCGAGATCTCGCAAAAGTATTGCGAGCGCTCGCAATAAGTATTGCGAGATCTCGCAATACTTTTTTGCGAGATCTCGCAAAGTTCTGTCCTACTTCGGTGAACCGGAAGTAAAACAGACACACATGATGGAGGAGCGTACACATCATAGACATAATAAAAGGGTAGACCCCGCTGGAGGTGCTGCGCAGCGAGAAATGCGGCCGCCATCTTGGTCAGGTCAAGCTTCCCATACGCTCCGGTCAATCATATTCATTCATTCATTCATTCAGCGATGCCGGAGCACTGTGCGGCGTATTCCTGTGCCAACAGGCGGACAGCAGAGAACAGGGCTCAAGGAATAACTTTTCACAGTTATGATTACACGTTTTTTCAACATTACACTTGACTGTAGAGTCATTTGTAGGCCAAAGAGGAAGACAGTGGTGCAGAGTGAGGTGGATGACCGGACCAAGATGGCGGCCGCATTTCTCGACAGCGCCCATTCGTGGTAGCGGCCGATGCGGGGTCTATCTTTTATTATGTCTATGGTACACATCATCCGTGCTCTGTTGCTCCTTCTTATTATTATTATTATTATTTTAGGCTTATTTTAGGCTATTTTAGGCGTGTTTTACTTCCGGTTCACTGAATGGAGAAAAAACTTTTGCGAGATCTCGCAAAAAGTATTGCGAGATCCCGCAATACGTTTTGCGAGATCTCGCAAAAAAAAAAAGTCCATCCATGTCCCTTTAGGGGCTCCGTATCCTTGTGCTCCCAAACTTTGTTTCACATTTATCTGAGTTGCTTATAAGGTGAAAGAAAGAGCTGTTTGAGGAGAGGGGTCACGCCCACGTTCTGCTGCTAAGGAAGAGCGTGAGAGTGTGCTTCTTTTAGAGTATAGGTGGTAACGGTGGCAACACAGCAGGCGGGACAATATCGTTCAGTCTTAATAATCATATTTTCATGAAGTTGGGGGGCCATGATTGTAATTGAAATCAGATCCATTGCCTGGTTCCACTAACTATGACACCTGCTGCTGAAATGTAATGAGTCAAGCAGATGTTCTTGTTGTTTGGTAGATTGTGTACTGTGTCGACCTGTGTCAGAGAGACCCGGGCTGAAAACATCCTCCTGTTAGAGCGCCTTCAGGCATCCAACCTTGTTTGTTTAATCACCTCTGAGAAAATTAGACTTTCAACACAAACTTGACAAAGATTCAATAATTGTAAAGTGGATGTATCATAATATCCTGATTTTAGGATATTGTTTTGATGATAAAGATGTTTAGATCTTTTTCTTTTTGCAAATTAACTGAATATCATTGAGTTTCAGTCATAACCTCTACTATAATCTTCATCTAGTCAACAGAATAAAGCAGAGGCAGAAACTTAAATTAAGAAGCATCAGAAACAATGACGCAGGTCAGCCATAAAATACCTTAACAGGGGTAGACTGTTATATTACAATTCTTTTTCTCCCTTTAGCAATGACTTGTCAGACTGAAATATTGATTTAATTGCAGAAAGAATGAGGCACCAGGAAGGTAAAGCAGACAGGCAATCAGGAAAAAACAGACCCAAACAGGCAAACAGGATGACTGGCTAACAATTAATCAGGAAATTAGAGAGACAGATGACAACAGAGGCTGTGAAAGCATAGAGGAAGAAAGGGTGGGCGGGTGGCTAAATTTCACCTTGTTAATGAGTGTTACAGAATGTTTAACTCTTTTTATCCCTGCTGGTCCAAGCTTTGAACGACCTGCTTCAGAATCATCTAAACTGACATGAAGCAGGACATCCAGCAGTAAAAAGGCAGGGGTTTGATGTGAGGAGAGAGGAGTCCCCCCCCCCCCAGAAATGATCGGGGACAGAGATTATGCTATTCACTGGTGATGTTCATTAGTTAGAGTCGTGTGTGTGGTGGAACAGAGCAGAACTGATGTAGTCTTATAATTACCCAAACTGCTGCTGGGAAGTTAAATATGAAGTGACATTAACTGTGAGCCATGCAGCTCAAACATGAGATACAAAGCCTCGCTCTGCCGGCTGATTTCAATGTATGATTTCCTCCTTCATGACTTTCTTTTTGACTGCAGATGCTAAAAGGCTGCAGAGATTTTCAGCTCAATTTTCAGCAGGGATGTTGTAACCCACGGTTCACCAAGTAACAAAACAGAAAAATGTGTTTGGTGTTTCAAATACATCCTTAAGTACTTCTTGTCGAGGTTTTTAGTGTTGAAACTTCACGAATAAAGGTTCATATGGCATTTCTGTGACATAATTCTCTTCCTTAATGTCACAGCCAAACTCCTGTGTGGTGTAACTTTCTCTGAAATTCAAGTCTTTATTCAAACTTGGGGAAGAGATTCATATTTTAGCTATAATGAGCTGTACGCATTCAAAACATTGGGTTAATCAGCATGTCAGGCAGTCTGAAGTAGCTCTCTCATCCAGCAGAGGGCACTTTCACCGCTACCTGAACATCAATTGGCACTCCTAACCTTCGCAAAGCGACACGGTGATAATTTTTCTACCAAAATGGAAAAAGTGTGCAGCAATCAAAGCCATCCTCAGTGGACACTCATATCACCATAACTCCTAAGAAGCGCTTTGTGGAAGTATTTTTGGCTCTACACCACAGACAGCAAGCTAAAAGACAAAGGCAAAGACGAGGCTGTACTATAATTGCTTTGTATAAAGCTGCTGTCTTACTCATTTGGAAGGCAGCAGAGGAGGTGCAGTGGAGTGTGCAATGTTAGCAAATAATATTTGAAGTGAATCTGTTCCTATTCCTAACCAAGTAGTATAGAGGTGTTTTTGGCAAATAACAATAAAAACAGAGTCACTGGAACTGCTCTGATTGCCATCTGGGTATTGGTTTGTTGCAAAGATTTTAATGGTTTAAAGGGATATTCCGGCATACAATTAAGTAACACCAAGTTAGACATCCCCTTGGAAGATAAATGTTACTGACCGCTTGCTTCTCTAGTTATACCAACTTTAGTAACGACTGCATGATAGCATTACACAGCGGTTTAAGGAGCCATGCGCACACCTCAACCAAAAAGCCACTCTATAGCCACAAATAATGCTCAGAACAGCACCAAACTTCATCAACAGTACATATAGGGTGTGTTATGGTGTGTTTGACCCTAAATTAGTTTTACGCCGGAATATCCCTTTAATGCTATATTTAATGTTTGACCAAATAAGAGTATACCTTTGCCACAGAAGTAATGTTGAGGACTACTGTATTTTTGTAGCTAAATAGATAAATCACTTTTAATTGTATAAATTATCTTTTGCTGCTATTTTGTTTCCACTTGTTTAGTGTCTAGTATGTCTCCAAGTTATGCAAAGTCTTCTAGCTCAGAGTGAGGCACCCAGAAAGTGAACCAGCTGAAGTCTTTGAGTCTTTATGATTTCTGTAGTCCTTGAACAAACAGCTTTGACCATCTGCTTGTAAAACTAGAATCTTACTCGTGGAGAGTTGGTGTTGAAAATGTGGCATTTGCCGACCCTTCGCTCAAGAATTACTCAAGGTTTTTAAGTGGACAGTTGACGTGTCAGTAGCCAAAGTAATAGCGGTCCGTTATTTATTCAGTGATTGGCTATTTCACACACTTGCAACTCTTGTGGATACCCCAAAGTTTTACTTCTTCACTCCTCTTAGACCTTGTCTTTTGTTTTTGTTTTTGTCTTTTGCACATCTCTTCTTTTAATCCCATGATACTGAGTGAGGTAGAGTCTGAGGAGGGAGCTGTCTGTCACAGACAAAAATGGAAACACACACACACACACACACACACACACACAGGCACAAACAAAATCACAGACACATAACTTAAGCCTTCTCTCCTTGCTCTGATTGTCAATGAAGGCGCTTCGTGACGGTACATATTTCTTCTGAGAAACAGCATCTGATGCTTCATCTTGCAGCGAGACTTATAGTAGGTGTCAAATTCCACCTTAATAACAGGCAGGATTTTTAGTCAATAAGACAAGAATTGAAACAGCAAGCTAAATTTGATCTTTTATTTTTGTTTTTATCTTGAGCTTACTATGGATTTATCAGCCTAAGTAAAAGCCAAGAGGCAGTCAATTCTAATATCAGGTTTTTTACCCCCCACATGATATATCTACTCTGATTTTGTACTAATACCTGCTTTGGTTTATCGAAAACAACTGGTGGAGGGCACTGTGATTGTTTCATAGAGCTGTTTTACTAAACTAGCATACAGTCCCTGTATACACCTTCATCATAAAATAACAGCCTGGAATCCTAATGCTTAAATGAAGAAAACCAAGTCTGGAGCTGTCATTGAGTGAGGCAGTGTATTGACAATTGACCACAGTCAACCATTTTCATTCTCACTCACACCTACAGGTAAGAGGATGCAATACTTTTTATCAGGACAGGCTTTTTCGCAGGTTTGATCTGATAGTTTGACTCATGTCCCATCTGTAAACATGGAGGAGGAGAACTTTAAGGCTTATGCTGTTGCCAGTCAGCAGGGGGAGCTCGATATGTTTTGGCTTCACTTTTGGGAAAAGTCATATCCCCCATCTTTTTGTAGACTCCATGAACTGCATGTTATAAAGATCAGGGTTTTAGTCCTTTGTGAAAAGTCAGTTTGAATTATTAGCTTTACAAAACGATGTATTTCTTTAACCATGAAAGGTAGGCTAACTCAATTGGTATTTGTTTTTGCACAAATTCATAGTGTACATCTGTTTTTATGTTATTGAAACATTTTCAAATTCTATCTTGTGAATTTTTCAATCACATTCAAGAGCCTCCAGTTTCTAAAATAAACAGACACATATGTAAATACACATAAGGACTAATGTCCTTGAACACATGCTGATAAGAGGCCCCAGGGGGGATGTCACGCTTTCACACACTATTATACTTCTGAGGTTTTTCAAGTCATCTGTGCATAAGCTCACATGCACAGCCCCTCGGGTAGCGCTGTTACTTGCCAGAGCATGCTAAATCATACCTGAGGAAGCTGAATCCCCCTGCTAACAATGGTTGGAGGGTGTTATAAACAAAGCTGAGCCCTTTCCTCGCCTTTCTGCCTCTGATACCTCAAGCAGATCTCCTTTCCTCACCTCACCTCTCTCATTCTTACCATAATCCAATGTTTCCTTGTCATTCTTCCGTTTTATTTCCTCACCTCAGCTCACCTCATCTCCCCTCCCTTCTCTGTCCCATGGCTCTCCTGTTGCACTGCGGATCCATCTGTTGGGTAGAGAAGCAATAACGGCAAAGCTGGGCGACAACATGAGGAATCAAGCAGAAACACAAAGCGGGCTTTAAACTGGATCCAGGTGTGATGCCTGACCAGCTTGCCTTTAGGTTCTCCTCAGTGCCGTCTCCCGTCAAAAAACAGACAAATAAACAGAGGTGTTTCTTTGGCCTTTTCCCCTCTTATTTACATCTGTCAGAGTCACTGGAAGGTATAAAAGTAAGACATTACATGTGCACTGTGCTTCAGCTAACAGTTTGTGCCCTACTTCTCCTTAGTGAAATGTGTAGAGGCGAACATGACGGCTGTTTTTTTTTCCTTGATTGAATGCAAAGATGCTTCAACTGACGGATGATCAATGCAACTCCTCCCCTGTCCGTTGATACAACAAAATATCCAGACAAGTTGGCCTCCTTTTCAGGCAGGATTAATGATCGATTTTACATCAACATCTGCAACAGTAATTTTTGATCAATGTAGCTCAGTAATTTTTTTAAAAACCTACTCAATGGGGTTTCTGAGCTTGTGGTATTCATAAACATAAATGCAAAACTACTCTTTTCCTCCAGCATATTTGCTGCATCTTACACTATTGTGGTTTTGTGTCAATATTGCAGAGCCAAGATGCCAAAGGTGCAAAAGAGGATTAGGGCCATTGAAAAAAAAGTCCAGTATATGTATTTTTATTATTATTATTATTGTTGTTTTGAGAAAAAATTCAGTCTCCACTGCAATGTTGTGGGGTCAGATATGGGAGGACTGTTCTGGACTGGGGTGTCTAAGGGATTCAGAAGTTCCCTGTCAAGCCTCCCTCAGGTGTCTTGGGCCTGATTTAATGGCGCTCGCTTGATAACTCTGGTAATGCGCACGCCCACGCTTGTCATCAGCCAGTGTGAAATACAAGAATCTGTGCTGGGCTGTGCACGTGTCTTTGAAAGCATTCAAGCAAAAGAGAAGATAAAAAACCCATAACGCTTCTGTTGGCCTGAGTTTCCTGTATTTAAAATGATATAAAAAAAACAAAAAGGTTAAATGTGTTATCATAATCACAGTATCTTCCCAGTACAGCCACAGGTACCTCTGCATCAGCTGGGGTAATAAGTCACTCCAGAGTAGCTGTCAGAGTGTGTTGTCATTCAATGTAATCACCTAAATCGCCTCAGGATAAAGAAAAGAGCCCCTTCTGCTCACCAGGCTCATGAAGCTGCATCTACTCTAAACCCCTGAAAGCATAGGGAAAAAATGAATACCAACGGTACTAAATATATATACTAAAGAAGAAGTGAGGAAAGAAGAAAGCTTTTCCTCTGAAAGGATTGTATGAACCATTGGGGACTTCTGCTAGTTTAATTGTGACATCCACCCACCAGACCTGCCTCTTCAATTCTAAATATATTTAATATCTGAGGATTAAAATCTGAATAAATTCCCTATAGTTATGCCACAATGAGCCAATTGAGAAGGAGTTTACAAGAATGGTAAAAGAGGAGTTCATGACACCCCCTCAAGAGATAAATGTTGCCGACTGCTTGCTTTTCTAGTTATACCAACTTCAGTAACTATCGCACGATAGCAATACACAGTGGTCTATGTCTCCACACGCAAACCTCAACCAAAAATCCACTTTATAGCCACAAATAATGCTCAGAACAGCACCTAACTTCAACAGGACATGTAGGGTCCCAGCCATAGTATAAGCCATTAAATACCTTTTTACCTTTGCCTGGTTTCTTTAGCAAAGCAGAACAACTACCGCGTCTGCAGTGCAAAATGATTAATATGGTGACAGGTATACTGGGAATATGGTAATTATTACTTCAAGGAAATGATCCTCTGCACTCAGTGATTGACCTGTAAGGGCTACCGCCTAACTTAATTTTACACCGTAATAGCCCTTTAAGTAATCGGCATGTGTGGTTTTGTAATGAATTTTCCTTTAGTGATCAGCAAAGTTCTTCTTGTATTGTAACATTTACAAATATGTTATCTGATTTTTGCTTTCCTGGTCTCCCATCGTTCACACCAGGCATTTCAGCCAAAAGAACCAAACAGGTTCACAGATCATTATTTCTGTTGCAATGAGAAGTTAAAACAACTTTTCTTCTGCTGAAATGACTTTTGTAACTCTCTTGTTGTGGTGTGATTGTTTGACACACACACACTGTCCCCATGGCAACAGACAGACATTGGTTTTTGCTAGTTTCATGATGCAATTTATGCCAGAGGTGGGAAAAACACAAAACACAAAAGGAAAAGACAGAATAATAAGAAAAAAAGTTGAGTATAAACAGAAAAAAATGGATAGCTTTGAGAAAATAGAAGCAGCACAGAAACATCTATTATGTTTACCGTCTCCTCACACTGACAACACCTATTTTGCCCTTCATTTCAGCCGTGATGGAAGAACAGACAGCTTGTGTTATATGACTCACAAAGAGCCCCACTCCAATTAAACACAATGGATGATTGTATGTGTTTGTGTGTGTGTGTGTGTGTGTGTGTGTTGGTGCTGGGCAGGTACAGCTGGTGATTTCAGTGGGGAAATCAAAGTGGTGCTGAGCAGGACCTGATCTGAGAGCAGTGACCCGCAGCCTGCACACACACACACAGACACACACACACACACACACACACACACACACACACACACACACACACACACACACACACACACACACACACACACACACACACACACACACACACACACACACACAATGGAAATAGCCTTTTCAAGACACACTGGACTATTACCGGTTACCTGATAAAAAGACAGTAACTAAACCTGAACGGTAATGTGTGTGTGTGTTCAGTTGTGTAAATTTGAGTGTGTTCATGCTCAAAGTGCTTAACTCATTTATATATTTTACTCATGGGTGTGAAGGATTTGTAATAACCTCCTTATATTCAATAACAGTTATAATGACTCCCCTTTCAAACAGGGATTTACAATGAACAAATGAAGCCAATCCTCCTTAAACCCAACAAAACAAAACAAACAAACAAAAAACCTGACAGGAGAAGAACCCAATGGCAAAACCCAACCAGCATGATAAACCCATACATTATAGAAACCCAGGCCGCATGTCAAGGGTTTCTACAAATTTTTTTAAGGATGAATTCCCAACTTTTGAAGACCCAAACAATAAAAAGTTTAAATTTTTTTGCCATAGCGAAACAAACATCATTTGAAATAGATGTGGCATATTTCATAAACATACAATAAACCCTACGTTTACTGACTTTTTGTCAGTGACTTTTCTCATTTTCTTCTTCTTCTCGCGGGTTGATGACGCACACATTTGACAGCAGTTCTTTGACTTTTAAGAATTGTTGAAATTGAAAAAAAAAATGGCCATCATTATCATCGAACAAGAATTTCTTAAAGCTCCAATAAGTAACTTTCAATTTGTGTGAATAATAAAAATGAATCTTTCTTTACAGCTGACATTGGTCCAGTTTTTTGTGTTGGCTGTTTGGTATGATAAAGAAGGACTGTGATATCATTAGCTAGGTAACTGGATGTAAATACATATACATTAGAAGGGTTTGGCATCTGTGGCTGGTTCTTCAACAATAGTCTTGCTGACTCCTTGTAGGTAATGCATAAATACCTCATGTTACCTCTTAAAAAATGACACTTTCCCTTTTACAGAAGAAGAGGTCAATCCCCAAAGAAAACAAATTTATTAAACAAAGGCCGTCAGCCAGATTCAGTTGTATTGTGGTTTACCTTCAGACCATAATTTGGTATATTATACCTCAACCCTTGGAGAAAAAACCCTCTGTAAAGATGTGAGAAATGGACAATATGTCCTCACATGCAAGGTGTTGAGCTCAAACTGGTCCTCACAAAGATAGAACTCTATTAGAAACACACACCACCTGCCTGCCCATTCATACTCCAAATCACTACCTCTAACACACACACACACACACACACACACACACACACACACACACACACACACACACACACACACACACACACACACACACACACACACACACACACATAATCATTCAATTACTCTAAACTTGCTCTATCGATTTTCATTCACAGTGTCATGCACACTGTGTTCAGCCTAGTGTGTGTGTGTGTGTGTGTGTGTGTATGGGCCAGTATAGTGAATAGATAGAGGTAATTGAATGCTAGAGAGACTGTGTGTGTGTGTGTGAGCCTTTATAGTGAAGAGATAGAGGTAATCTGTATAAGTGCTGCTACACTCTGAAACCTTTTAAAGCCTTGTCTGTGTGAGATTTACCTAAGTGAGTGTGTGTCTGTGTTTGAGAGAGAGAGAGAGAGAGAGAGAGAGAGAGAGAGAGAGAGAGAGAGAGAGAGAGAGAGAGAGAGAGAGAGAGAGCGAGTCTGCCTTCAACACCACTAAGTTGCCATTTTAAATGGGCTTTCCATCAGCAACTAAATCAGAGACAAGAGGAACACAAATTACATTAAGAGAGTCTTAAAAGAGCTGGCTGTGCCTTGGTTTTTAACTTTACAGTCCAGAAATTAAGAATTCAAAAATGTTTCCAGCACCCTCAGCACCTTATAATTTATTACTACAACAAAGTTTTGAGTTGATCTTTTAACATATTTCATTGCTTTTCTGTGTCATTTCATTCTTTTCAATACCCCTCTAACTTGCACAAATACTGTCAGTTTATGTACGCAACAGAAAAAAAAGTTCATTTTATACATGAGAACTTTTCCTCCACACCCACACCAGTGCATGAGTATACTGTACATGTGAAATGAGTTTGTCAATAGACTAAGCCCTTCCTCCTAGTATAGCTGAGTGGTGGTAATTGATCTGCCAATAGATGAAATCAGCTGTCTTTGTGTTTTTCACAGTTCCAACATGATCGCAAAACAAGCATCTCCAATTAGTATGGAAGAGGATTAGGGCAACTGGGAAAAAGGTCCAATATAAAGTGTAGAATTGTGTTTTTATTATTTTGAGAAAAAAGCCAGAATACAGAGATTAAGGTCAGAATTCTGACTTTTTCTCAATATATGGAGAGAGAGAGAGACAGAGAGAGACTTCTTTTTCTAGGGGCCCTCATCCACTTTCATTTGCCATTTAAAAGCATTCAACAAATCAAAATCAAAGCATCATGTGCCATAGCATTAACAAAAGGACTTAACCCAGAAGTCAATATTTCCTAATGTCACATTTCTAAACAAGAACGAACAAAAAGCCTAACAATCAAAAACAAATACAGGTTTAAAGATACTGAAAACAATAATTAACACAGTTAGTTTTTAAGCAGTTAGACTGTGGTAGATAAATATAACAGTGAACATAAAAAACAGGAGAACTTTCAATCACATTGTGGTTTTAAGGAGCAAATAATCTGATTTACAACATTTAAATAATCCTCTTGTTTCCAGATAGTGACTTTACAAACTCATTACAAATGTCAACACAGAACTGTTGTCATTACATGTGAAGATATTCAGCCTGAGTTTGAAGCAGTGTGTATAAATCTGACTGCCTCTCCTCTGTGCACAAAGGTCATTAACTTACGTCGGCTCAGTTTAATTTTTCATTATTGTTACGAGCATTACCATGTTAATGGTGTTTACTCCAGAGTGCCTCAGCTGATTATGCGCCCAGAGTCATTTATGATTCCTCTGTCTCATATTGTATCTTATCCAGCTTATCAGCAAACGTCTGGCTGTGAGGAGAAAATTTGAGTAGGACAAAAAAAAGCTGAGTATTCTCAAAATAAACTTTTGATTTAGAACAGCAGGGACTGGGGGGGTCAGGCAAAATGTGTCCAGGCGACACAAGCACATCATGGAGGCTATTATTTATCTTCAAAGTGTCAACAGATCAATAACATAAACAGATCAATGCTTGATTTGGAGGCAGAAAGTTGTAATTACTTTGTATTACTGTGAAAAACAGAGTTTCCTGGTATGAGCTCTCTGTCTGCGGACATAAATCAAGCAGAAAAACAAACTTTTAATGTTTTGTAGATCAGAAATCAAGTAATTCAAACCTTTTTTCCCCCTCTCAGTCAGGTTTGTTTTCAGATAAACAGAAACTAAATTTCTGTTGTTTTCACTTGGACTGAATGTCGTTGCTGTTTTTCTCGGTCTCTCCAGTTTTTGGCTAAAATTTTCTGTGCATGTTCCAACCTGTTCGCCAAGCATTATCTATGTGTGTGTGCGTGCGTGTGTGTTTTGTATGAGCAAGTGTGTGTGTGTGTGAAAGAGAGAGAGAGGGAGAGAGAGACAGAGAGAGAGACAGCGAGAGAGAGATACAGGTCACAGAGTGTCAACAATGGAGAGAGATGAGTTCCACATGAACGGTCCACCACCTCTGCTGCCGCTGTCTCTCTTTTCTCACTCTGTGCATCCATTTTCTCTCCCTCTTTCTCTCCTCTCTTGCTACAGCTCTTTCTATCTCTCACTCTGTTGTGTTTTTTTGTTCTTCTCCACCTTGTTCTTTCTGTCTGTGTTCGTCTTTTTTGGCTCCATGTCCTTTTTTTTCTTCTGCCAACTTAACCTTTCTCCTTGTTCATCCTCTTCTTCTGTCTCTCACATCTGTTTTCAAGCTCTCAGTCTTCCTACAATGTCTACATCTCCCTCAGTCCCTTGTTTTTTTGCACTTCCTCGCTCTAGCTCCCTTTTTTCAACTCCTTTTTCCCCTCTCTGTCTCACCTTGTCCTTATTTGTCCTTTTTGTGATGAATGAGTAAAATACAAACCCCAGTTCTTGTGAAGCTGGGACATTGAATGAACATAAATAAAAATAGAATACATTGATTTTCAAATCCATTTTCACCTGTATTTAATTGGATAATACATGTCATGTTCAAGCTGATTAACTCCATTGTTGTTTTGCAAATATTCACTGATTTTGAATCTCATGCATGCAGCATGTTCCAGAAAAGTTAGGAGCAACACAAAAACAGAGGACTGCTCCAAAAACACCTGTTTGGATCATTCCACAGGTGAACAGCTTCACTGGAAACAGGCAAGTGCCATAAAAGGAGCATCCCCGAAAGGCTCTGTCATTCACAAGCAGGGATGGGGCGAGGTTCACCACTTTGTGAACAACTGCATGCGCACATAGTCCAACAGTTTAAGAACAAGTTTCTCAATGTGAGACTGCAGGAACTTATCATCTACTGTTTATAAAATCATCAAAAGATTCAGAGAATCAGGAGAAATCTCTGCACGTAAACAGCAAGGCCCAAAACCAACAATGAATGCCCATAACCTTTGACCCTTCAGGCAGCACTGCATTAAAAACCCACATCATTCTGTAAAGGATTATCACCACATAGGCTGAGGAGTACTTTGGGAAACCATTGTTGATCAACACAGTTCATCTCTACATCTACAAGTGCAAGTTCAAACTCTACCATGCAAAGACAAAGCCAGAAATCAACAACACCCAGTGACGCCATCAGCCTCTCTGGACCTGAGCTCATCTGAGATGGACTGACAAGGGGAAAAGTGTGCTGTGGTCTGACAAGTACACTTTTCAAACAGTTCTTGGAAATCATGGATGTGGTGGCCAAAGAGGTAAAAGACCATCCGGGTTCTCGTCAGCGCAAAGTTCAAAGGTCGGTGTCAGTGGCTGTGGCATGGCAGACAACATCTGTGAAGGCTTCTTTGATGCTGAAAGGTCCATACAGGTTTTGGAGCATCCAAGCCCGGTCTTTTTCAGCTTATTTTGGTAAGACAACGCCAAGACACATTCTGCAAGAGTTACAACAGTGTGGTTTCAGAGTAAAAGGGTGCAGGTACTACATTGGCCCTCCTGCAGTCCAGATCTGTTTCCCATTGAAAGTGAAAAGTACAAAATACCACAGTGGAGACCCTGGACTGTTGAGCAACTAAAGTCACAGATTGAGCAAGAATGGGAAAGACTTTCACCTCCAAAGCTTCAACAATTGGTGTCCTCAGTTCCCCAATGCCAACCGAGTGTTGTTAACAGGAAAGGTGATGTTACACAGCGGTAAACATGACCCTGTCCCAACTTCTTAGGAATGTGTTATAGGCATCAAATTCAAAAAGACCAATACTTGTAATTTTTTGTCACAAACAACTGTGCAACAATGAAAAGCAGAATTATAATCCTCACTAATGTACTATGTTTGCCAACCAGTCACCCTGTGGTTTACCTCCCTCAGTGTTTCTCACAGGATCACAGCATAACTAAAGATAGTCATGGGAATTTGAAACAACAGCTGGACAATAAATCTTAGTTTCATCATTATCACAACTTGAGTAAAAAACAAAACTTTTGTGAAAGCTCTGAATTTATAGCACAAGTTAAGAAAAGTTACATTTTGTTCTGTAATGAGACTTATTCACTTAGCATGAGTATGTTCGCCCTGTACGATGTAGACTTGGTTACAAAGGGTACCTAGTGCTGCTAGGCCAAATATCGAAACCTCTATGGAATAACAGATCAGGATGATAAGAAAAAAAAGTGCTGTGACAAAAAGCATAACCAAAACTCGATCTGGATTTTTAATATTCTTGTTTGACCCATGTTCCATCTCTTTTACTGGAGGAGGTGGGGTTTAAGACCTATACTGTGGCTATCCACCAGGGGGGAGCAATAAGCATTATGGCTTCACTCGAAATAGCTGATGTGCTGTCCATCCTTTTATCAAGTTAATTGTCTGTATCATAATCATTAACAGGACAGACCAAACCTACCACTCTCTTGCTCTTTGTTTTGACGCTGTAGATCATCCAAATGTCACTCAACCTCTCATGCACAACTGTGTGCAGCAGAAGGAGAAAACAACACAAATATTGACTTAATGTAAAGATTGTGGCAGAAAACAGCAGCCACCATAAGTTCTGCATCTTTGTCTCCATAACTTTCCTCCACAGTTGTTGTTGTGACTCATATTGCCATACACTTACATTCTGATATGCAGGCCTCATTGCTCATGTCCTCAACTGCAGCTTTGGTTTCTGAGAATGGTGCGTGGACGTGCTCATTTTATGCATAACACACAACAAAACTGCACAAAGTCTCTGCTCTCCCTCTGTTCCAGTCCCCAGAGAACCTTTTGTAAAAACGTGGTCATACCTTGACTGTGGCTGGGGGACTATCGCTTAGTACTCCAGTTAGAAAAGGGCGAGTTGAACAAAGAGCTGAGCATGGCTCTGCTTCTGTTGGATTTATAACATCAAATCTGGCAAAACGTTATGTTGGTTAAATTCAGCATTAATTTTAAGAAGAATTTTGAAGTCTTTGTTATTTCAGAAACATATTGTAGTCGTTTTGACTTGAGTCAAGATTTTGTCAGAGGAACCGAGTTTTTGTTTTCATCTTATTTTGGTCGAAACTTTATCTGTGATAGTTTTTAAAAAGAGACATATCTCCTGTTTGTTAAAATTTTGGTTGAATGAAAAAAATACCTCCCTTTCATCCTGGGTGAACACATCTTTATTACCTTGACTTCCTTGTGCCAAAGACAAAATTGAATGCCAAAAACTTTTAAAAACTTTTCCAGTCAAACTTTTAAAAAACACAGATTCCATCTTCACTCCATTGAGCCCCATTGAACTGAACTCTGTCATTGTTTGCTGAATGACTCTGTGTCTAAATGTAAGTCTGAAGAAATCATGAGTCATATTTTAGAAGGAGGACGTAAACGTGTACGATATTGTAGCTTGAGTTTGTTAAAGTCAACAATCAGCTATTGTAGCGCGGTTTACTAAATCAAATAGATCAATAGATATTTGACTCCACAAAGAACTCTGAGTTTAGTTACTATTACATTTGAGTTATTGTGGATTTGTATCAGCAGATCATCATACATCATTGTTATATACCTTGGCGGACACTGCAAGGAACTCCTCAGGTGTCATCCTTAATTTATCAGGATCTTGTAACCATAAGGTAGCCTGTTCTAACCAGTGATGATACACACGTCTTATCTCTAGAAATGTGTGCTCGCAGGTTGTCACTTTTCTCCCGGCTCAAGGTTGCTATGAGGTTCTTATTTTGGTGATGCTAGCTGTCAGCAGGTATTTTGTTCGACCTTTGATAGGATCGTTGACAGCAAGTTACTTTTGGCTTCCTACCAGAGACTGTAAACAGATCTTAGTGGCAAACGCTGTGTGAAAAATCATCTCATGATGATGGAAAAGATGAATGAAGCTGATGAGATTTGTAGCACATAAACGATCAGTTTCAACAAACAATGATGTAACTGGATGTCCACCCAAACAGAGCTGAACATTTCGTCTTATTATTCATCAGAGCATTTGTGATCAGAGATGTCCTTGTTAGTTTGTTTACCATTGTCATCATCTCTATTTAGTGATAAAAAATAACTAAAATGAAAACAGGTTAATGACAACCATGTAAGCTCACATCCAAGGTATTGATCATACTAGGTTGAAATTGTCTCCAGAGTAACAGAATCATTTCTCTTCACTGACAATCTTCCAACTTCATGGATCTGTAACTCAAACTAGACTTTCTGAATCCTCAATGTTTGATTTGACCAAATAAAACACCCAGAGCAATGCAGCCAATCAAGATCTCCATTTATGTTGAATTTTCACCCCTGATACCTTTTTTTTTATATTTACGCTTCATCACTTCATCCCCCTGTTCCCCACCTCCACCACCACACCCACCTCTCCAGCGCTCTGTTTGTATATTTGTTCGTTTTGCTCTGCCGCTCCCCCTCTATCCTCTAATCTCTAGTTTAAATAAGAAGCATGAGCATGCATGGCTCACGTACGCACACATTAACACAAAAAACAGGCACACTTTTTTAAAACCTGCACTCACACGTATACACGCACGCAAACGCACACATGCAGGCAAGCGTAACGTACAGAAAACACAAACAGTGGCGCAGAAGTGAGAAAGACCCAAATACAAATTAAAGTGTAGACATGCAAACATGAAGATTTACTCTCTCTGTCTCTCTCTCTCTCTCTCTCTGTCTCTCTCTCACACACACACACACACACACACCCTCCTGTGACTCTCAGGTAAATGCTGCTAGTTTTGCATTTTAACCACTTGAGGGTGGTAGAGGGCTTTAGCTCAGCGGTATATTGATCTACACACACACACACAAACACACATAAATGCATGGAAGTGTACACACATCCTCACTGGGAGGTGACGATGTTGTACAGTGGAGTCCTTGAGCGGTGGCTCTCTCACTGTGTGACCAATCAGAAGCCTTTTATGCGCTCAGGCTACTGTAAATGTATATGAAAGGCCCCGGCTTTGTTTGGCTGTGAAATTTAGTCTCTGAGTCAAAACATGATGTGAAGTGAAAGGATGTGGATTTTTTATTTCGTTCAGCAGTCTCTCTTCCCCGGCTTTACAGAGGCCCTCCATAAGCAAAACAGGTCAATTTTATAAAGATTATTTCACGGTACTGGGGTTTACTTTTCAGCAGCATACGGTTCTAAGAATAGTGGGAGACATGCTGGAGCTGGTGAGTGCTGGTCCCAACCTTCTGACACTTGAAGTATACACACACACACACACATGCACACATACACACACACACTTTCGCAGTGTTTTAAATCTTGATCAAGACAGAGAGCTTCGTTCCCTCCCTGCAGCCAGATCCGACAGCAAACACAGCAGAAACCCGAGTGCTTGATTTACTTTAATCTTGCCAATAATGTGTCTGCGTTGGCGGCTGTTCCAGTCTGCTGAGGTAAATCAAGTGCCCCTGAACTACTTCAAATATTTGAAGTTGAAGTGCCATTGTTAACACAGGAAACAAGACTTGGCTTTTGAGGAGGGAAGAAAAGGGAACACCCATCGACATGCAAATCTGTGCCTCATTTGAACGTTTGAAGTTCAGCCCACCTGGCACCTCTCAGTACTTTATTTGATAAAGAGCAGTAGGAGAGTTCAGGAAGCATATTTCACCAGTGATAACCTGCTTAAAGAATAAATCTGTCTCTTCATTTTCCCCCCTCTAACTGCTGCTCATTGCTCAGTTTCAGCCCTACAGAGGCCCCACATTAGCGCATCTGGTTTCATTATTCATCATGTAATCTTTTAGCATTCAATCAGAAAACACATCACAGCTGCTCCTGTTTTAATAATTGCCTTGCTTGGACAATAAAACAAACAGGACGACGCTGCATACAGAATCAATGTAAATTCCAACTGGCCAGCAGGGACCAGCTATACGCAGCAGAAATGAGGAATTGTAATGAAGCTGTGGTAGTAGATGCAGACACATTCTGCCGCAGATTTCGCTGAGATCTGGTTTTTGAAACTCATCCATGGGTACATTTTATGATGAGAGCTTAAAGGATGTGTAACCTGAAAAATGTAAACAGATGTGGTCTCTCGTGAAAACAAAAACAAGCACAAACATTGGAGAAAAGAGTTAGCAATCATGCGTACAGATGAATACAGTTCATTTATGTCTGAGCTAAGCGAAGTGAAAACCAGCTGCATTACTTTATCCTAAAGTGACATTAAAAGTCTCTTTATGCAAGTGTTTATTCTATAGTTTCAGTTGTATTTAAGTCTTTGAGTCTCTTGTGTTGGTTACAATTCAGTCAGAGGTACATGTGCTGTTGTGTAGCTTGGCTCTGCTAAAGTGGATCATGATCAACTAGTACAGCATGCCGATCGCCAACAGATGCTAAGTTGAGTTTTGCTTGCTTGTCAAAGCACGCTCCTGTCGCGCAAACCATGACATGCACCGAGTTAAAAATCATCCAGTGACAATGAAGATGATGAGTAGAGGTCCTGAGAATTTGCAGATGAATTATGAGTCAATCATTTTGTCTTGTCAAAACTCATCAGAACCATAGACTGTATATAGAATGGACAGCGTCCGCCTCCTTGATGGGTGAAGCCACCGCGAGAACAGCAACATCTGTTGATGGGCTGCAGTATAGGTCAAAAATCCCACTTCCTCCAGCAATCCCTGTGGGGCTGTGGACAAACTTTAGAAATTTATTACACAGAATCTAATTTTTTCTCCCCCCTGGCTGTGATGTTGACATGTAGTTACAGTAAGACTGGTTTGTGTTTAAGTTCTCTTTTTTCTGTACAGCTCCATTTTTAAAAGTTATAAAAGGGTTTATGTTTTCTTTGATTGACACCTGATACAGCCTATGGGCGTTCAGGGATTGCGTAGCTCACCCGAGGATATGCTGTTTAGGCCAAGCGTCATCACAACAACTCTCGCCAACTCTCCCGCCGAATGCGTACAATGCTACTGTGCAAGGGTTGGTTCCAGGAGGTGGAGAAAATCCAGGAAATACTGAGAGCAATTCAGCTTCAAATTCATGTAATGAGAACATTAGAACATTTATGATCAGAACTTTTATGAACGTCATCGTCTTAGTTTAATCATGGAAAGGTTGTACGTCACTGAGTAGTTATCTTCATTTTCGTTGACAAAATTAACACTATATAAAATGCGTGAGGAATTTTAATGACAAACTGATATAAAGTCTTTCAGTTGATAAAAGTTTCATTGATAATTTGAATAAAGTAATTAATCATAAAGTCTCCACATAATCACTCAAATAACTTGAGGCAGTTGTAATTCAGGACATGCAGAAAATTGTAATATTTTATAACCTTGGATCTTAATCTTTTATCTCTCACAATCATCAAAAGTTATTTGATTTCAGTCAGTCAGCTTGATCACTTGAAACTACATGGATTAAAATACTTTCCATTTGTTACTTATTATGTATTTTTCTTAAGTTTCAGCATTCTTCAGTGTGAGTCATAGTTTAGGACTTTATAAAGTTACCAATGTTTGATAGATGGAGGCACTAAAGAGGCAGTATTTTTCCAGCTTCTTGCAAACATGTTTACAAGAGCTAACAAGATGATAATATTCCAATAAGCATGTATTTTTTTAAACATTTAAAATCTCGCTGGACCCCTCGGTGCTGTGCCTTCTGTGGAAACTGCAGCTTTTCCTCCATTATGTCAGATTGCTGAGATTGTTGACACTTTTGACACGTCTGTGAAGTGCCAGCTGTTCAGGCGGGCTGTGTGTCCTTAATAGACTCAAAATAGTGACTGCCTTTAAAAAGTAAAGCATTAACCATTTGTTGGGTTGGAAAATATGGAGAACCAGATATCCTTTCTTTCTTTCTTTCTTTCTTTCTTTCTTTCTTTCTTTCTTTCTTTCTTTCTTTCTTTCTTTCTTTCTTTCTTTCTTGTGTGTCTACGAGCAAGCAAGCTGAGGGCGCATCGTGCTGGAGTGCTGATGGACATAGGTGTGATTAACACCTCACCATACGCTCTGATAGTGCGAGCCATACTGCCAACCACTGTGTTTGTGTGTCTCCATGTGTGTAACTCGGCTGTCATGCAGTTCGTGGACATTTCTCAGTGAACTGGACCCTGTAGCAAAAAGTCCTTGACCTGGAACACTTCTTTCTTCCTAAACTTGTGCAGTGAACAGATCCACATGTGGAGGGGGATGTAAGTGTTACTGGGGCCAGCCTGCCGTTCAGGGCAAAAACCCAGAGTTAGATCTTCGGAGAATATTATGGAAAGAAAGGGATACAGTAGAAAGGTTAAAGGACCCACAGTAAGCAAATTTGAAAAGATTGGGGAACATAATTCATGCATTTGGTGCTGGAAGGAAGTGGGAGGAGAGATTTCAGCCAGGTTGGTCCATCGACATAAAAAAAAAATAAAGAAATTGGTCAAGAAGAGGAGATTGTTAAAGTTGCAGTGGAGAGAGGTGACAGTGGATGGAAGAGAGGGAATTGCAGGAGAAGCTTAGAAACAGGTTGGAAGGGCAGAAAAAAATCTATAGAGGCAGAGAAAAGAAGGAGTCAAGACAGAATTTTACAGAGACCATTTTCGTCGGGAGAGAGAAAGGGCAACCTAAAGCTTCAAAGTAAGAGGTAGAGGACACCTACAAAAAGACTCACTCAGAGCCAAGGAAGAATAGAAGACTGGGCCTAGCTACACTGCTTGGAGAGATCAGGGTTACTTTAGGCGTTAGGCCACCAAGGTGGAAGGAGGAAGAGACTGTAGTGAGGTGAACAAAGGCTTCTTAAGCCCCTTCTTCAGGTCAAACAAAATCCCCTACCGGGTTTAGGAAAGTACACCAAATGACCTTAAATTCTTGAGGAAGTTATTACTGTGGAATAAAACAAGCGTTACAGTCCCGAAGATTGGTACCTCAACAACCAAAACAAATCCTGCGAAATATAGGTAACATTCGGGAATAATGACGTCACAGAGCTCTTTATTTGCCATCCAACCCGCCTGTAGCAATGCTCCGTTTTACAGCTGAACTCTTCCTCTTACTGATGTAGAGGTTTTAAGGTGCTAGAAAGGGATCATTACCTAATCAAATTATAAACAAACACTGGAGAGGTCACACATTTTGAGGCTGTGCCACACAAGTCATTGTGTTATTGTGATTTTTTGTGGCCAGAATAATCATGAAGAGAAATCTGATATCATGACAGCTTTAATACATAGCAGAGTGTACATATTCTAAAAATAAGACAGAGAAAATTAAGTAACAGAGGAATGTAATAGGACACACCAGGATCCTGCATTTCATTCTGGGGTTGCAGCACCGTCTGAATTTCAAAGTTCAGCTTGGAGCCTCGTGTGATGCAACCTCGGTAAACAGAGCAGGTGCACACGACTGATTTTCAACAACACATGTTCTGTTTTTATCATTTGCATTTTTAAGATAAATTAAACCTCCGTACATGCTACTTTAGTCTGAGTGGATGGATTACATTGATGATTAGACTGCAGCAGAGTACATCTCTAAAGATACCTCCTCCACCCAGACCACATCAATCTAAAACGCCCAAGGCTCCAAACTCATTAAGCCTTGAGAAAGTTCTCTCATCGAAGCAGAAAGACATGCGGAGAAGACATAAAACAGCCGGGTAAACACAACTTTGAATCTCTCTCGCTGCATAACTAACTGTCAGCTGCTCTCCATCATCATAACTGCTTACTAATTCACCCGATTTTTCCCCCTCACTCCCCGTAGAAGTGTGCAGCTCGCGAGTGATTAGTTCATTTGCAGCTAATCTCTTCTGCGAATGGGGTCATTAGGAGTATTGTGAGTGATGTCATGACATCCGGGCGTCACAGTTTTGCTGAATTGCTGCTCGAGTTTTAGTGTTAAGTTGCTTTAGATGACTACATAAAGGGCAATAATTCGAGTGGTGGGAGGTGATGCCCTGATCAAGCTTTGTGTTTCACCTCTGAATGACGAATAGGTTGTCATTTTTATGTTAGATTTGTCAAAAACATTCTCAGGAGGCCAAACTAATAGTTCACTCACCACCACGGATATTTCCCTTAAGTCACCATAAGAAGAAGAAAAAAAAAAAAAACTTTTCCGTCCATCTAACCAATCACAGAGCTAATGTTCCCCATCCTAGCAACCGACATCCAGTCAGAGCACACAATCAGTCAGCCACTGAGCTGCAACAGCGTGGTGACAGGTGGGAAAGAGATGTACAAACACATTAACAAACACTACAAGTGCATGCTGAGCTTCAGCGTCTGCAAGAGACCCCCAGATGATAAATAGTTCATGATTAAACTTGCGCTTCTTTAATTCCTCAGCCTGGATGTCATTACACATTGCATCCCAAATGTGTGATCCACTGATATTAAAATAAGATCCAGTCAAAGTTTGTTTTTGCCGAGTCAACGTAGAGTTTTCCTTTTGCCAAGACCAGCAAGTGTTTGGACTTATTAATATGATTTTGGAGAATTGTGTTCATATATCACAACCTGGTGGAGCAGCCAGCGTCTCAGTTATGCGGAAAGGAATGAATTTATTTGATTTATTTTCAAGTTGAGTGAAGCATTCAGTTTCAAGATTAGTTTAGAGAAAAAATTAGAATGGAGGCTGAGCTTAAGTCCTTTTAGATTGACCGTCAGAGAGGTTGGCTGGAAGTGGAGAGAGCTAGTCTCAACCTTCAGGTTAGCATCTACCTCAACAGGAGGAAACATCTTAACTTTAAGGTAATGCTTTTCAGTGGATTTTTGTACTGTATCTCAGTTTAACTCAGGGGTGGGTAATCATGTGCCATGGAGGGCCGAGAGGCTGCAGGTTTTCTTTCCAACCCAAAACTCCACCAGGTGATTTCACTGATTACCTTACCTCCTAATCAGGGACTAATCAGTGAAATCACCTGGTGGAGTTTTGGGTTGGAAAGAAAACCTGCAGCCTCTCGGCTCTCCATGGCACATGATTGCCCACCCCTGGTTTAACTGGTTTAACTGACCTGTAACTATGCTCAATCAAGCAGCGTTTACTTATTTACATGACCTTGTGCCTGGAGACAATGCTGTGTTATAAGTCTGTTTCCAGTTGATCTTCATTATAAGATCCCTCAGTTATGGTCTAATGAAGATATGAACTTTGGTTCAAATCTTGGATTGAAGGGAAAAACCTTCTGAGTCAAAAGAGACAGTACGTCATCTTCATGTGATGAGTCCCAGGTTTCTGATAAAAGTCAGGGCCAAACAAGTCAGCCAAGGTGACAATTATCTGTATTGATATAAACCCTTAGCTTCATTGACATTGAGGAGTTAATACTTTCTGAATCTTAAAATCACTTTTGCCAATAACTTCAGCAGCATTTTCAAGAGATACTCTGGAGCAGTGTTGTTTACTTCCCCCTCCATCCAGCATGAGTGCCATTAAAACAAAAACAAATCTCAGTAACAGACATTCGCACACTGAGCCGTATTTGACTTGAATGCTACAAATTTGATTTGTTTTGGGTGTACCGCCAGCCCCACTGTTTTATGATGCAATTTCTCTTTCTGTGTCATTTTTCCTTCCTCGCTCTCCCATGGCTTTCCTCGCACTCTCCCAGTGAGCCACAGTAAATCTGTTTTAATTCTTATGTTGGACGTCTGGACTCATTGAGACTCATAAGCAGTTGATGGCAGTGTGCTGATTTTGCTTTATATCTTTTGATAGGAAATCCATACCACTTTACAAATAGCATATCAAGTTAACATTAGCATCCAGTCACTGTTGGCTGAAGTCTTAGATAAAGATATCTAGGTATCCCCTAAAGACGTTCTTAGATTCTATTTCTCCATCATAAATATTCCTGAAAGATAACAAACAGATCTCCAGGATTCATACAGCTGTTTCACTTTGCTGCCTGTATATTTCCCTGTTGTGTCATATATAGTCAAGCACTGCTGCTTTTTGATATGTCAATGCAGACTAGATATCTTTTTTATCTATTTACTATTAAAGTCTGTAATTTCACTCACAGCTGAAAGCTAGATTTATCAGTGTGTGGACACTTGATCCAGTAGAAACCAAAAAGTAAATTAAAATCTTAAATCAGGTTTTGATTATTTGTACTTTAAAACATCTTCTGAGAGAGATAAACTTGAACTGAAATGAACTTAAAATTGCTTGTTTTGACTCAGATAAAAGAATCTCTCTGTATTTTATGTGACTGCAAACAGGGACCACATCCTTACATCAATACTGAAATAAAAAAAGGTTATATTATCCAGAAAATAGACCTTAAAAGACATCAAATAATGTGCTGAACCTAGTTTAAAAAACTTGTTTCATACTGTAAAGAGATGGCTGAAAGGAGCAGAGAGAGACAGGAGAGCAGCTAAGATGCCTTCAAAATGCATGAAACCTCCTGACTGATGCTGCCCTGCAATCTGACAGTCACGCAGCAATTGCTGCAATCACACATTTGAGTGAGGAAAACCTTAGTGTGCTTGTTGTGTATGCAATCGTTTGTGAGTGATGGTGTGTATTTGTGAATATATCTGAGATGGAAGGCTTGTTCCCTTTCAGTGGTTTGTCATTATGTCAACACATAACAGCACATGCCACTCCAAATCAATACTGAAGTCAGAGCGCTGATTTAACTACTGCCTCTGCTGCTCCCATACCTGTCCCTTTTTCTGACAAAGAAATACAGTTTTCCCTTTTCTCAGCCTGCTTCCCTCCCTCACAAAAATACATAAATTTAATGCAGATATTGTGAGCTGAAATATAGCCAAGTTGTTGCATTTTTACTCCTAGGACATCAGAGGTACAAAGATTGTGCTTTAAACTGGTTTCTCTTTATCAGCCTCAAAATAAATGAAACATTTGGCCCCACATAAGACACCTCAGTGCTAAAACTGACTAAACTGTCATGGCTGCTTTGGGAAATTGCTTGTCAATGAAAATCAGATAATAAGATGTATATGTTTACAGGAATCAAACAAGACCCTACATATTATTATGTGTCTATTTTCATGGAAGTATTTTAAAACACTGAGTGGGAGAAAATCTAGCAACAGACCACAGACAATAATGTCAGTAATAAAACACAGGTTTGTAGTATAATTGTCTGGCTAACACCTACACAAACAAACACACACACACACACACACACACACACACACACACACACACACACACACACACACACACACACACACACACACACACACACACACACATTAAAAACCTCTTTACAGGAGCTTTAAAAATAGAAATTAATCACCTACATATAGAGTAATGCGAGAAATTCGCACGGGAGTAAACTTTTGGAAAACTTCATTTAGCACAACAAAGGATTTTGTAGGTTTTTAGTCATTATAATATGCCATTAGTCTTTCTGTCTTTCTATTGGTCTGTTTGTCTGTCACCTCTCCATCTGTCTTTGTTAAGATGTGTTGCTAAAGTTAACATTATGGCTGTCAGACAAAAAAACAGACTGAGAGGCTACTGAGGCCACAAAAGTTCAACCGAGAGTGGGAATTTTAACACAGTGCTACTCTCAAAACTTGTTTCTGTTTGTAACTACTTCTCTCTTTGTTTGCCCCTGTATCGTTTCCTTCTTTTTTCCTTCACCCACCATTAACTGCCCCAATCTGTCCAATTGTTTGGGACTTTCACCTTGTTACGAACTTTCAAAGGACGTTTTGCCCCCTGAGCTCATTATTTTCTACCCTGTTGTTTCTGCCCTCCCTTTTGTAGGAGCAGACCAAGAGGCAGGCCCATTTGATAATAAATCTATTAAAACAGTAGAGGCAGAGATAATAAGCTCTATCAGGCTTTCTCTGGGCCTTTAGAGCTGTAGGAGGATGTAAGTAAAGGCAGATCAGTCAAGAAGAGGACAAACAGAAGACAAACAGTGGCAGTTCTGGCACAGTTTAACACCAGGGGCCAGAGCAGGGCCAGCTGTCTGTTTACAGAGCCAGAGAGTTAAGTCACAAAGTTCCTTTCTCATTTAAGAAGTCCCTTCTCCAGCTGTTAAAATAAACCATAGGGCCAAATGTAGGAATATGAGCCTACAGTATCCCTCTGATAGCCTGAGTTTTTTCAGTTTCACAACAGCAGGTATCTATTGGCTGCTTCAAAACTTTTAATGAAAATACTCATTTAACCTAGAGGTAAAAAGCACAGATCCAAGAGGTCACAATAACAATATTGATGCGTTAATTATGAAAAAAAAAGGAAAATTAAACTACAATCAATCAGATTGAAAAGGGTAAAACAGGAAACCTTCAGGATGTTGGGCCCGTTCTGTCACCGTTGCGTTCTGGCTCTGTCAGGCAGCACACGTTGTCGCCAATTGAAAGTATGTTTGGAGTGTAGCAGCAGCGTAATGCAGCCCTAGTCGGCTGGACTCAGTAAAGGAAACATCATGCTCATGACAGGTTACTTTGCCTGTCTGTGGTCAATTTCCTGCTAATTTGGATATCAGCAATGACTGTTGAGCTTCTACTGTATATGAATAAGCAGAGTGATTTTATAGTTTGGATTTTATGAAGTTAATGTATTGAGGTTCAGGAGCAGGACCACTAGGGAGATGCAAACCATTTTCGGTCCAGTTCTGCTCCTCGACCCACTTCCATCCAGGTCAAAAGACCTAATGCTGCATCGGTGCAGCATCCACAGCAGCCAGGCTTGGCATATCAGATCGAACAATTCAAACCCTCGGACGATGGTCATCTCAGGCAAACAACTCCTACATCTGAAATAATCTCCATGATCTGCATCAGGCCCACACTCAATTAAGCCCCCTTTCATTATAACTCTTTGGGGGTTGGACTAAGCTCGGGCAGAGCTAAGCCTGAGATGGAACCCTCATCCTGAGTCTCTCCCTGCCAGGCCTCGACAGAACCTCCCAGACCAACCAGACATGCAACAATCCTCATCAACCTCATCATCCATCACAACATACACACATCGAACAAGATACACACACTCCTGAATTTGTATGAAATATTCAAACTTACATCGTTTTGGCATGGTCATTGCTAGTGAAATGAAGTTAACGTGTTAACTAAGGTTCAGGAGCAGGAGCACGCCTCACCACACCTTCAATCACCTGACTACTTATACACAGCCAGCCCACTACACTCTGTTTGTCTGCAATTCTCTGACCACCCCCACCCCCACCCCCAAGCACTAATTTATGTCCTCTCCCCCTTTTTGACACTGCAACTGTGTCTTAAAGACAGACACCATATTAATAACTTCATCATTTCTATATTGTATCACAAACACACGGCATCACATCCATCCATTCATTCAATTCAAAGCTTCACGCACCAAAGCCTCGGGGTGTCTTTGGTTTATCACTCTGCCTGTTTTACATTTATTGTCCACTTGATGGCACAGTAGAGCAAATGAAGCACGATCATGAAGCTTCGGCCTAGGAGTTGAGTAATTGGATGGAAAGCTTCGATGCTTCATGAGCATAGACTGTATAAACTATGGACAACTTGGTTCCGCCTAGCGCCTGTATACGGATTTGAAGCCAAATAGCTCTCGGTATTTCCTGGATTTTTCTTCATTTCCTGAAACCAGCGCTGCGCAGTAGCGATGCGCATATTCGCTGAGAGTCACTGTGGTGACGCTCGGCTCAAACAGCGTATCCCCTGGGAGAGCTATGCTATCCCTGAACGCCCATAGTCTGTATCAGGTGTCAATCATAGAAAACATGAACCTCCTAATAACTTTTAAAAACGGAGCTTCACAGAAAAAAGAGGACCTGAGCACAAACCAGTCTTACTGTAACTACATGTCAACATCACAATCAAGGGGGAGAAAAATTTATATTATATTATATATTATATAAATTTCTAAAATTTGTCCACAGCTCCATAAGCTTTGCTGGCGGAGGCCGGATTTATGACCTATACTGCAGCCCGTCACCAGAGGGTGCTGTTCTCGAAGTGGCTTCACCATAGACTGTATAAAGAATGGACAGAGTCTGCCTCCTTGCTGGGTGAAGCCACTAAGTTGTCCATAGTATATTAACCCTTTGATGCACAACATATCCACACCCCCTCTAATGCGCAACATGGGTCTAAAAAGACCCGCATTCATTTCCAATGGTATTTCATGCTGGCTGAGTTTTTCTTTGTTCTATCTTTTGAAATAAGTTTATTTTCTGATTGAATATTCCAAGTATTCTTTAAATATCTTGTTTTTGATCACCACTGATCATTATTTCTATTTTTCTTTTCATACTTTATGAAATAATATAGTTTCTATATTTTTACATCAAGTTTACACACATGGGTCAAAAACGACCCATTCATCCAAGTGTGATTTAATATTGAATTACCTAACACTATAATAATAATTTGTTTCAAGTAATGAAATTAGCAGTGAGTGGGGCCAAACCATAGACTGTATATACTATGGACAACTTGGTTCCGCCTACCGCCTGTATACGGATTTGGAGCCAAAAAGCTCTCGATATCTCTGGGATTTTTCTACATTTCTGAAACCAGAGCTGCGCAGTTGCAATGCGTGCATTTGGCCGCGCAGTCGCTGAGAGTCGCTGTGATGACGCTCGGCTCCAACAGCGTATCACCCCAGGAGAGCTACGCAATCCCTGAACGCCCATAGGCTGTATCCATAGACTGTATATACTATGGACAACTTCGTTCCGCTTACTGCCTGTATACAGATTTGAAGCCAAAAAGCTCTCGATATTTCCAGGATTTTTCTTCATTTCCTGAAACCAGCGCTACGCAGTAGCAATGCGCGCATTTGGCCGCACAGTTGAAGAGAGTCGCTGTGATGACACTCGGCTCAAACAGCATATCCCCTGGGAGAGCTACGCAATCCCTGAACGCCAATAGGCAGTATCAGGTGTCAATCATAGCAAACACGAACCCCTAATAACTTTTAAAAATGGAGCTACACAGAAAAAAAGAGGACTTGGGCACAAACCAGTCTTACTGTAACTACATGTCAACATCACAACCAGGAGGGATAAAAATTTATGTTCTGTGTAACACATTTTTTAAGTTTGTCCACAACTCCATAATCTTGCTGGCGGAGGCGGGATTTATGACCTATACTGCAGCCCATCAACAGAGGGTGCTGTTCTCGGAGTGGCTTCACCCAGCGAGGAGGCAGACTCTGTCCATTCTATATACAGTCTATGTCAGGTACTGTCAATCATAGAAAACATGAAACCCCAAATAACTTTTAAAAACAGAGCTGTACAGAAAAAAGAGGACTTGAGAACAAACCAGTCTTACATTAACTACATGTCAACATCACAAGCAGGGGGGAGAAAAATTTATGTTCTGTGTAATAAATTTCTAAAGTTTGTCCACAGCTCCATAAGGTTTGCTGGCGGAGGCGGGATTTATGACCTATACTGCAGCCTGTAAACAGGGGGTGCTGTTCTCGGCTTCACCAAGCAAGGAGGCAGACGCTGTCCATTCTATATACAGTCTATGGGCCAAATACTTATGTATTTTGTATCAGCAACATGTTTATTTGTCATTTTGTCACATACACATGCATCTGATTATAGCTAGCTGAAATAACGCTAGCTGTTTTACCTGTAACTGTGTAACTTTCCAACATGTAATGTCCTCACTCTCAAGGTAACCTAAACCTAATCAAATCAAATCTATGTACAATTATATTTCACAATTGTCATCCAATAATTTCTAAGATAATGTCAGAACAATTGAAAAACCATACTTACATGTATTAGATGGTCTTTTCATGCTAAATGCTACAGTCACTGTATGTGGGTCGTTTCTGACCCATGTATGTAAACTTGATGTAGAAATACAAAATCTGTGCTTTCTCATAACGTAAGAAAGGAAAAATAAAAATGATTATTTGTGCTCGACTAAAACAAGATCTTTACTGCATACTTGGAATAGTAAATGATAAAATTAATTTATTTCAAAGATATACCATAGAAACACTCAGCCATACATGAAATAACATTGAAAATGGATACGGGTCATTTTAGACCCATGTTGTGCATTAGAGGGGTAGTGATACAAAAACGGTTTTTATTCTAAAATTAAAAAAAGAAAAATTAATATAAGGATGTAGGGTCGTCAAAAACAAGTTAATTGAGGAATTCCTTGAGTACCGACTGATGGAATTAATTTTTTTAAAAGATATATAAAATTTAAACTCAGCCGGGTCTTTTTTGACCCATGTTGCGCATCAAAGGGTTAAGTCTCTGCTCGTGTCTCTGCTCTGCACCAAGTCAACTGTGCCAACCCTGGATTGAAAGCAAAATGTTCTAATAATTTGATTTGGGGTTCGTTTTTTCCATCAGAGTAGTCATCTTCAGTTAATCCCATCTATCTTGATATGTCAATCAATCCAACCAATCCAATCAATCGAAGGCAACGTTTTAGCCAATTACAGGTGAAGGGGGGCGGGCCGCTTTCCGAGTTAAAGTTAAAAAATTCATAGACGGACTCGGCGCGGCGGAAGGCGGACTCGCTGGTAAGCATGGAAAAAGTGGATATAAGAGGTTTTTCTGTTCGTCAAAAAAGGAAGAAAAACACAGACAGGAGAAAGCAGGACGTAGCGGCAGCGCCACACAGCTCCAGTTTTAGGAAGTGAAGCACCGAAGCCAACTGTCACACCGGAGTCAACATTCATGCTAGCCGAGGGAGCAGCAGCATAGACATAATAAAGGGTAGACCCCGCTGGGGGTGCTGCGCAGCGAGAAATGCGGCCGCCATCTTGGTCAGGTCAAGCCTCCCATACGCTCCGGTCAATCATATTCATTCATTCATTCATTCAGCGATGCCGGAGCACTGTGCGGCGTATTCCTGTGCCAACAGGCGGACAGCAGAGAACAGGGCTCAAGGAATAACTTTTCACAGTTATGATTAAACGTTTTTTCAACATTACACTTGACTGTAGAGTCATTTGTAGGCCAAAGAGGAAGACTATCGGTCAACTCCAAAAAGGAAACAGCATTTGCGAACAGCTAGCTTATTCACAATAACAGCAACTTTGCTCTGTTATCAACAGATTTGCATTAGATTGAAAAACTTTTGTTTGAGAGAGGTTCTAAGAAACGTTAAGAAATAAAATGGAAAGAAGAAGGAAGAAAGTGAGCTCTGTTTTATTATCTGTTTTATTAAAGATTTCTTTGTGGTGATCTCCTGTTTCATTTTGAAGATTTCCTAAGGACAAAAACTTGAGGAAGAAGTGGGAGATTGCTGTTAGAGGGAGAAATTCGCAGCAAGTGATTCCTCTGTGCTGTGTAGCCAACAAGCAAATTGATATGTAGTTTAGATGCTGTCCTGTCATGCTGTTCTTGTGTTTAAATTGTTTTGATATGTAGGCTATATATTTGTGTGTATTTTCCAGTTATTAAAATAGTGCTTCTATATGACATTATTTGTGTGTGTCTACAAATGGATAAATAAAATTAAACTAAATAAAATATAATCAAATCAATATATATTGAATTGGCCTTTTAAAACCGCCAGTTATTAATAATTATTGAGACATAGCAGGAACCTAGCTCTAAACCTAGATATATCCTTGATTAATTGTTATACTATAATACAGCCACTGCTGCCATGTTCTAAAATATCATTTTAGTTATTCTGAGTATTTAAAAACGCCAAAAAAAAAATATGACCTCTATCATGCCTCTTTGAATGGCGTTTGCAGAGAGGAAAATTACGTAGTATTGAGCGAACTATGATTCATTAAATGCGCTCAGACTTCATTCCGCCAGTTAAACAGCGGTGCAGAGTAAGGCGGATGACCGGACCAAGATGGCGGCCGCATTTCTCGACAGCGCCCATTCGTGGTAGCGGCCGATGCGGGGTCTATCTTTTATTATGTCTATGAGCAGCAGGAGCAGCGAGACCCTCCTGCCTGGAAACGTAAGTGATGACGCCGATGTCGTGAATAACAGCACATTACTGCAGCTTCGCGGTAACATTACAGCTGCGAGGAACAGCAGCAAGGCAGCTTCATTCTGCTCCTGGTGCTCACTAGCTGCTGTACCTCCTCCCCTAACATGAATGTCTACTCCGGTGTGACTGTTGGCTCGGTGTTTAGGTTCCTGCCAATACTCCCGTTTTCCCCGGGACTCTCCCGTATTTCAGACCTATCTCCCGCCCACCTCCCGTATTGTCATTTTTCCTTAGAATCTCTCGTAGTTTGATGGTCCACGTTCATTCATGAATCGGATCACTATATTTGTCCAACGTTGCCAGGTTTCCAGACAACTGAAGAGTGTTTCTGCTGAGCCTCACAGACACTGGATTGACACTTTTACTTCACAACTTGGGATGGTTTAGGTTGGTTAAAGCTGTAAACTATATTTAAGCAATGTTTGTTGCAAATGAAGACTTTAATGAAAGGGAAACAAACAAGAGCTATAGTATTTCCGTTGATAGCTTGCACCGTCTTGGAGTGATGCGTTTAGGACAGCCTCAGATGAAAGAGTGCTTTATTGCATGCATATGTTCAGAGAGCCATCCATGCAGTTTTTATTTTGTTTGTTCATGATATTGGCTAACATTATTTCGTGAAAGCATCAATTCACATTACAGTCTCCTGCACTTTACTTGTCATACACACAGAGGACGGCTCTGGCTCAGTGAGTCAGTCACAGCTCAATAAAAAGGTCAGGGGTTCAATCCCAGGACCTGCTGTCCACATACTAATGTGTCCTTGGACAAGATACTTGACTCTACCTGGTCACGTGGCTTGCTGGGGTCTGGCAACGCTGCCCTCAGCAGCTCAGTGGAACTTTTTCAGGGCTGGACTCCAGTTATCGAGGGTCTGCTGCACAATTAACACTCAGTTCTCCAATGACAGGGACAGAATTAAACCTGACATCCCTCCAGTTTGTCTCTTATCCCCCGTGTCCTCTTCATTCTTGGTGTCCTGACCAACATTCTGTAAATCTTTTGGCTGCAATATGAATGATTAGATAATTTAGATCATTTGTCATCTGAGCTAACATTAGTGTCCTTTCCAATCAACTTGAACTCACTTTAAAATACTTCAGTAACTTAAACATTACTCACTGTTATAGAAATTTGTTGAAGTTAAGTTAGAGGTGTGGACGAAAGCTGTCAGCCTTCCAATGCAGGTTGAGATGACAGCAGACTTTTAGCAGAACTTTAAGCTGGAGGCACAAAAGTTATTCTTTAATTCACTTCAAATTTAATTCAAATCACTTTTTTTGTCCCCCAGGGGAAATTAAAAAGGGCATGACGACAGCTTAAAGGGACATACAAACAAACCACACAAGTGGACATAACGGTCAATAACAGACATTTAACATTTAAAGTGTGTGTATTAAAAGTGCATTTAGCCAAAGAATCATAAAAACAAATAAATCAATGAAAAGATGAAATAGCTTAAAAAGATTAACTGCACAAGTGGAGGATGAGACTCATGGTTGCCATTAGAGGCAAAGACTTATGGAAAATTCTCACCTCACAGTCTTTACAAGGAGCAGCAACAGGAGGCAGACGGTGTAGTTGTTCTGAGGCTAAAACTTTCTCTGAGACTCTGCTGGTCAGGGTAGTGGTAGAGGACTTGGCTTACATAGGCAGTGACGCTCTAACTTGCAAAGATCAACCACAATGTAGAAAGGTAATGGAGAAAGGTACTGCCAGAATTCACTGAAAAATACTTATCTTAAAGGTTTTGAAGGCAGCTTGTTGTCCAGTGATGGTAGAGACTCATGTTGGATGTCATTTGGCAGAGATCACTTTTATACATGTGGACTGCAGCTTTGAGTGATGACTACAGTTGTGGCCCAGTGCAGTTTGTTGACAAAGACTGAAGTTGGAAGCACTGGTGGCAGCTTCCTCCAAGAAAGATCACAGGCGAAGGTAGAGGCTGATGTTTGCATCAGGCTTGTGGAGATTTCTGTTGAAGGAATTGACAACAGCTTATTGTTCGTTATTGACAGTAGTCTACTCTGGAAGACTGTGAAGCAGCTCTTTAATGTGTTTTGCATTTTAAGAATGTGACTGACATTTTTGCAGGTGTTAAGAAGATAGCTAATGTTTGATAGGAATCCTTGGCATTAATGCTTTATACTGTTTTTAGTATAAGTTAGGGACTGCTCTTAAATACTTACATGTAAGGCAGTGATTGTAGCTTTCTTAAATATTTTCAGCATGTGGTAAAAGAGGCTGGTTTGGAGGTGATGCGTTTAGCTGCCACAGTTTAAGGTCACTTGCACATTCTTTCTTAGGAAGTGATGGCAGCCAGTGTATCCCAAAGACTGCAGATGGAGGTATTAGTTCAATTTGTTTGCCTCTGACTGCATGTAATAAAGGGTAAGGTTTCTGTGCTGCTAGAGTCTGGAGCTGAAGACAATGATGGCAGTTTTTGTTTATATTTCATTTACATGTGTTCATTTACATTTAAAAATCCAGAGAACAATTCTTTCACTGTCCTGTCCTGTGTCAATAATCGGTGTAAAAAAAAAAAAGACGCTTAAAACGCACCTCAGACTAAACCACTGCCAAAAATTCCAGGCTTTTAGGTCATAAATACACCCAGGGCGCAATAACCAAAGCACAAAGATGTTATTTTAACCATCTAGTCCAACCTGTTAAACATCATCTCCATCAACTTCTACCTCAATGACTGGGAAAATATTTACTTTGATTCTTGAATGCTTTCAACTTTTAATTAATAGTCCCAAATAAGTGCTGAACTCGTACTCAACACATGAAGCTAAATAATCAATGTCTTTCCAAATCAAAATCCTGTTATCTATAATGCCACTGCAAAGACCCGTGAATAATCAGTTTTATAAGGTGGCTACATTTAGTGCAGTTAACAATATCAGGTGTTGTTATGCATGCAAGTAATTTCACTTATTACAGTTTTAAAAATCTAACAACGACACTTCATGTTCCTGCAATTCTTGGAAAAGCTTACAAATGGTTTGAAAGCTGAAAAAGCAATGCTAAACTGCTAATAAAACATGGAGAAAGGTATAAATGTAAAAGCTGTTGAAGGGTTTTTTTTTCACCCCTTCAACAGCTTTTACATTGCAGTCGATGGACTCACCCGGAGGTCTTCATACAAACAAGCAGCTGCTGCAAGAGAGAGGGTGAGTTGTGTGAAACAAGAAATCAGGCAAGCTAAAAAGGTGTTGATGAAGTTGGGTGCTGTTCTGAGCATTATTTGTGGTTATAGAGTGGTGTTTTGGTTGAGCGTGTGACTCTCTGTATTGCTATCTGCGGACTTTACTTAAATAAAGCAAGCGGTCGGCAACATTCATCTCTCGGGGTGTCTAACTCGGTGTTAAGGTGTGTTTGACCCTAACTTAACTGCTTTTAAGAATGAACGCTATTTTCTTGAACCTCCTCGCTCTGACGTCTTCTGTGTAAAGACAGTCTCTAGAAGCGATACTAGCTAGAAATGCTCTACAGCAACACCAGCAGCTGGCTGACCTCCTCGCTCTTCCTGCCGAGCAGAACAAGGGGGAATTTAATGAGACTTAATATATCGTTACTTGCGGCTGAAAAATCAAAACTTTCTGAGGAAAAAAGAAAACAATACTTTAGAATTGATAAAATTGCTCAGCCCTAGCTCAGTGTGGGCCTGGTTCCTGCTGCTTCTGCATCCATAGACCTGCAGTTTCATTTCTCCTGCCTTTTTTTTTTCACTGTAAACTTGGTGAGAACTATGAGCAGAAACATTGAGCATTCATACCAAGTTGCATGCAGAATAGCCTAGTGCGAGACACTTCACATTCATGCCAGATTATATTCAGGTTTTGTACACAAGCAAAATAAATGAGACACTGACAAAGTGACAAAAAGTGTTTGAGATATTTTAAGTTTCTTCTTCAATTATCTAACATCCAAGAAAAAACTATTAGGGCTTTTGCATCAGCATGTGTTCATTTACATTTAAAAATCCAGAGAACAATTCTTTCACTGTCCTGTCCTGCGTCAATAATCGGTGTAAAAAAAAAAAAAGACAGTTAAAACGCACCTCAGACTAAACCACTGCCAAAAATTCCAGGCTTTTAGGTCATAAATACACCCGGGGCGCAATAATCAAAGCACAAAGATGTTATTTTAACCATCTAGTCCAACCTGTTAAACATATTATATACCACCCTTTAATGAAAGGGATAGGTTTATTTTTGCTTTTATGTGACACTGCATGAGGTACTTCACAGGGAATTGCCTTTCAGTTTGAGCACTTCGTTGATGTTTCTCCAATTGCTTTTGAATACACCGCCAGCGTGCACATGGCAGCTCCGGTTAGAGGGAGAGGTAACTTTCTTAATTTTTCGTTCTGAGTCTGACTCACACCTACCGTCAAGTGAAACTTCTGAGGAAAGTGGAAGTTTCGGCTGAAACATGTCAAGGTACATGAAAAGAAAACATGTCTGCGATAAAAGAAAAAAGAAAACTACATCTTAGAGATTGAAAATTTCTTAATTCTATTGTATCACATCCAGTATGGAGTAGGCAGACATACTAAGGAAACACATTGCATATAGTATTGTTATATTTAAAGGCAGTTAGGTGGCATGCTTTACTAGAAAAAAGCAAATTCAACTTCTACCTCAATGACTGGGAAAATATTTACTTTGATTCTTGAATGCTTTCAACTTTTAATTAATAGTCCCAAATAAGTGCTGAACTCGTACTCAACGCATGAAGCTAAATGATCAATGTCTTTACAAATCAAAATCCTGTTATCTATAATGCCACTGCAAAGACCAGTGAATAATCGGTTTTATAAGGTGGCTACATTTAGTGCAGTTAACAATATCAGGTGTTGTTATGCATGCAAGTAATTTCATTTATTACAGTTTTAAAAATCTAACAACGACCCAAAATGTTGTATAAAAATGCAAAAAAGCCAGAAATGTAATAATCTTTCAATAATGTAACAAAAGTGTTGAGCCTAAAATGTAATATAAACAATGTAATAAACCCAAAAGGTATGACTGACCCAAAATGTTGTTACATTATCGACCAGTTATTACATTTCAGGTTTTATCATGTTTATTTTTTTTTTATATAACTTTTTCGGTCATTGTTACATTTTGGGTCATTTTTACATAACAAAAAAAGTTACTAACACTTCATGTTCCTGCAATTCTTGGAAAAGCTTACAAATGGTTTGAAAGCTGAAAAAGCAATGCTAAACTGCTAATAAAACATGGAGAAAGGTATACATGTAAAAGCTGTTGAAGGGTTTTTTTTTCACCCCTTCAACAGCTTTTACATTGCAGTCCATGGACTCACCCGGAGGTCTTCATACAAACAAGCGGCTGCTGCAAGAGAGAGGGTGAGTTGTGTGAAACAAGAAATCAGGCAAGCTAAAAAGGTGTTGATGTAGTTAGGTGCTGTTCTGAGCATTATTTGTGGTTATAGAATGGTGTTTTGGTTGAGCGTGTGGCTCTCTGTATTGCTATCTGCGGTCTTTACTTAAGTAAAGCAAGCGGTCGGCAACATTCATCTCTCGGGGTGTCTAACTCGGTGTTAAGGTGTGTTTGACCCTAACTTAACTGCTTTTAAGAATGAACGCTATTTTCTTGAACCTCCTCGCTCTGACGTCTTCTGTGTAAAGACAGTCTCTAGATGCGATACTAGCTAGAAATGCTCTACAGCAACACCAGTAGCTGGCTGACCTCCTCGCTCTTCCTGCCGAGCAGAACAAGGGGGATTTTAATGAGACTTAATATATCGTTACTTGCGGCTGTAAAACCAAAACTTTCTGAGGAAAAAAAAAAACAATACTTTAGAATTGATAAAATTGCTCAGCCCTAGCTCAGTGTGGGCCTGGTTCCTGCTGCTTCTGCATCCATAGACCTGCAGTTTCATTTCTCCTGCCTTTTTTTTTTTTTTCACTGTAAACTTGGTGAGAACTATGAGCAGAAACATTGAGCATTCATACCAAGTTGCATGCAGAATAGCCTAGTGCGAGACACTTCACATTCATGCCAGATTATATTCAGGTTTTGTACACATGCAAAATAAATGAGACACTGACAAAGTGACAAAAAGTGTTTGAGATATTTTAAGTTTCTTCAATTATCTAACACCCAAGAAAGACTATTAGGGCTTTTGCATCAGCATGTGTTCATTTACATTTAAAAATCCAGAGAACAATTCTTTCACTGTCCTGTCCTGCGTCAATAATCGGTGTAAAAAAAAAAAAAAAAGATGGTTAAAACGCACCTCAGACTAAACCACTGCCAAAAATTCCAGGCTTTTAGGTCATAAATACACCCGGGGCGCAATAACCAAAGCACAAAGGTGTTACTTTGACCATCTAGTCCAACCTGATGGTGATGATGATGATGGTCTAATTGGCCTTTGTAGCTCATATGGAAGAGAATACATAAAGATAGTAGTCTATTTAATTTCCTTTCAGGGATCAATAAAGTTCTTCTTTTTCTTCTTCTTCTTCTTTTGAGGTGGGCCAAAATAAAAATAAAATGAAATACAAATGATAATTCATAGCCAAAATTGCATTGACCCCAATGTTGATCATTTTTGACCCAGTTATGGAAGAGTGCAGGATTCAGGAAGTCAGGCATGTAAGGGAAACGCAATCCTGTTGGCTGTCATGTCAGCCAATGACAGCATCAAGGAAGTAGCTTTGGTTATAAAAATCACTAATACGCTCATACTAAACACAACACTCTGACACAGGGATCAAGGTAAGATTAAGACATAATAAAAATTAAAGAAAAACTTATTTATTATTTTGCTAAACCTTAAAGAACAAGAAGTTTGCATGAGTTGGTAAAGTCTTAAATTGTACTTGATTTAATTGATATTTAAAGAGTGCATTTGTTTTTGTATTAGATGGCGTTGCTGCTTCTGTTGGTGATGCTGACCGCATGTGCTGCTCTTCCTCAAGGTAAAAATACATACCTTCATTCTTTAATACAGACAACAGCAAAATGAAACACACTGGAAACAATCAACCTCACACAAGCATAGGACAAAATATAAATATGCTTGCTGTTGATGATAACAGGAATAAGGACAACAGTTTGGCAAAACATGAGTGACAAATTTGTGTCAGATGAGACTAATTCATTTTATTTAATGTTTTTCATCACCTCGCAGATTAAGTTTTGGGTTTTTCCGTTAAAAATGCTGTTATTCTTGATTGTTTACGTGTGCACTAGAATTTGTAATTATATCATTCAGATAATGTAAACAGGCAAGGAGTCAGACTCCATAGCTGCTCTTCAGCTGTCAAGCACTCCTCAGATGATGACTTACACACTGGTACATACATTTACCAGTAAGACGAATGTGTTTATTTTGTGCTTCAATGATTCATATGATAGAAGTAATGAATAAATGAGATGGTGATTTGCTAGAATATTGAAAACTGCATGGCTGAATTCATGTATTGAGACTAAAGTAATGATTTTGTTAAATGGTACACATGTAACAGTAGACTCCTGTTGGTCTGAAACTGTGTGATTTGTGTTAATAGTTTTTGTCATAGTTTCTTTGTGTTTTGATTTCTTTCTTTATCTTAGATATGTCTGGTAAGATGTTTACCTTCCCACAAGAGTCAAAGACGGCATATGTGAGGCTGACAACACCAAGACAGAGTTTGAGCGCTGTGACCCTCTGTCTGAGGTAGTGCCATATATGCAGAAATGTCCTTGAATAAAAATAATGATCATAGATATCCTTATGAAATCAGCAGGACTGACAATATTGTTTTTTTGTTTGTTTTATCTCCACAGAACCTTTACAGACTTGGATAGAGGTCATGCCCCCTTCTCTCTAGCAACACCTGGTGTTGCCAATGCCTTCGTGATTTTCGGATCTGCTAAAGATAATGAGGTTACCATGTCAGTAAGGAACAAGGAGGTTCGATTCAGAGAACTGGGCTACAAGACGAACACATGGCACTCATTTTGTTCCACATGGGACTCTGGCTCTGGTGTGGGGCAAATTTGGTTGGATGGAAAGCCCTCCAGCAGGAAGTACATCAACTCTGGATCAAACATCACTGGGCTCATTAACATTGTTCTGGGACAGGTACACTCTTTTAACAATATGGGAAATTACATTAATTAGCCCAGAGTGTGTTAGCACAGATTACCCTAAAGACTAGAAATACAAACAACAATGTATTCTGACTAAGCCTTTGTTAGGGTCAGTGACTGTCGTAAGTCACAGTTGGATTATCAGTTTTCTCATCACCTGTGTCCACTCCAATCTCTCTGCAGAAGGCAAAAGTTAGCCGACTTCTATGGCCTGCAATTTTCACTCTTTGAAAATAATCTTTGATAGGCAGTCAGCACCATGAACCACAGCAAAAGTCATGCTAAATGCCCAATTAGAACAAAACCGAAAGCACTGACGCCTAGAATGAGTCCAGAGATTAAACTGGCTGTATGGATGATACATAGTGAACCAACAAAATCCACTTTTCACTCAAAATGATCCCATCCCATACCTATTAGGTTAGATATACTGAAAAATACCCCAACAGTTACTGATAAAGCAATGATGTAAATAAACCCCTTTATTTTATTCTCTCTGATATAAAAGTCAACATTTTACAAAGGAGGATAAAAAAATGAACAAATAATTTTTTTTAAACTCTGGCTTTTTTCTCAGAGTGGGACTTCAATCTCATTAATCTCTGAGATTTAAATCAGAGTTCTGACTTTTTTACTACTAATATGCTAATATTTAAATCTGTATTTAGAGTATAAATTTCATAACAATGTAACAACTGTCTCTTGAACTTTTGCAATTTCTACAGGACCAGGACGAACATGGCGGAAGGTTTAACGCCAAACAGTCATTTGTTGGCATGATGTCTGATGTCCACATGTGGGACTACACCCTCTCCCCCTGTTAGATTCAATGCTACATCAATCGCGTGTCCTTCACCTCAGGCAATGTGCTTGACTGGAAGGCGTTATCGTTTCAGACCTTTGACAGGGTTCTGATCGAAGATCAACAAGAGAACTGTCTCCGCTGAAATTTTTCTTATCCCGGCTTCTCCCATGGTATCTCGGCCTGCCTTTGAGTGTTGTTAATTGAAACTTTTACCTGTGAATGTGTGATTTACCTGAAATTAATACCTGCTCCCCTCCTCTCTCCTCCAGTGCCTTCATGAGCCTCTTGAGCCAAGCCCCTCTGCCATGCTACAATAACTTAGATCATTCACCTCACCTCACCTTGGAGCTTCCGCACACCTCAGACCTTGGGACCCCCCCACCCCATCCCCTCCCCTTCACCTTTATTGAAATAAAATTACTCAGCTTTACCTCTTGTCTCTGGTCTGTTTTGGGTTCAGCACAAATATCATTACACCTCTGGCCTAAACTCTTGACTTGCTGTAGTACAGAAGTTATAAAAACTGAGGTATTCAACTTTTTAAGTCGTGCATCGGTGCTGCACGTGAAAAAGCATTGCTCTTTAAGATAAAAGGTTGTACTTCAAATTTATTGCACACCAGTTGGTGTACAATGAAAAGAATACACCTCCTGCATTTGCCATTTTCGTTATTTCTCAGTAAAGAAAATGTAGTGTTGGACAGTATTATCATATGCATATTAATGTGCTCATGTATCAAACAAAGTATTAAAGCCATGGTAAATTCTTCATAAGATTGTCTTCATAACATACAGTAAATCCTTACTCAAAATTTGTGCTGTTTATTCAAGCTCATATTTTGTTGTCAAGCGAAATAAACAAAGACAAAATGTACCGGTGAAGGCTGGGATGGTTTTGGCGAAATGAGAGAGAGAGGAAGAGAGAGAGAGAGAGGGAGGTCAGCAGCAGGGTTGGGCTTTTAACCCTGCCAGGGCCAGGCCCAGGTGATCCAAATCATCATCATGAACTGCACTCAGGTATCTCTGCAGCAAGGTGGAGGAGACAGGACAGGTTAAGCATAGAAGAGCTGCAACAGAGAGTTGGGGCTTTATTTTTGTGTAAGCTGGTGAGGCGACGGAGGGTGGCGGACCCCGCGCAGTTGTATTTTCGTCTGGCGGAGCCCGGCGTATGGCCAGTTTGGTATTTTCGTGGACTGAGGCGCACAGAGGCGAGCCGAGATCCGCCAAGCTGGGCGTGGTGGCGTGGCAGGGGGAGGTGTCGACAGAGTCAGCGGGCACAGTGACATTTTCGTGCTCGCCAGTGGCGTGTAAAGTGCGCTGAAAGCTCGGCGATTCAAACCTGGTCAGCTTTCAGCGCAAGCGAAACGCAGCTGGTCTAGTAGTATTTTGGTAGACCGGCGGCGTATCGACATACGTCACTGATGCCTCACCGGCAGGTTTCCACAGTGTCAGACACATTTCAGTGCAATAAATAATCAACAACAACTATTAATCTGAGTCAGCACATACATTTATATCTATATCGATATATTCTGATCTATATGTGATCTGATGAGCGTGTTTGGCACGCGTTTGGACACACAACCTGACCGAATCAACACAGCTGAAACCACATCAAATTAAATTAAATATCTAGTAAATAAACAGATGTGATGAAGTTAACATGATATGTAATTCGTCTCCCTCCTTTTCTTTCTTCCTCTTCCTCTTATTTCTCGCATAGCTCGACCGGGACACGTCTCCGTGTCCTCTCTCCGTCCTGCAGAGGCTCAACAGATGATTTGTTTCAGTGCTCAGATGAGTTATCTACCTTAAGCCGACATACGGATTTTATAATATTCAGTTTTGTGGGCCAAATTTATTTCATATGCCAAAATCTATGAAAGAAAGAGCCAGGCCACGGAGCGCGATGCGTCATTTACGCACAGATGGTTCCAATTTTAGTGCCATTTTTGGAGTTAATGTTGTGATCTGTGCGCACAACCCACCTTTGTCACGTGAGGTTTGAATATGAGCAACTTTATGTGAGTGTCTTTATTTGTGGAAAAGGGTGTTTGTCTTACCAGTGGGTCCAACATTATACACACCAAATCCATCTGTGCTCATATGAGAGTGTGGAGGACGCCAAATGCAGCGCTTACAGCAGTGTTGTTTTCGTCAGGCAGGACGAAAACTTAAATGACGACGTCAGACCCCTTTTTTCCTTGACGAAAATGAGACTAAGACGAACGTCACTAAAGCTCTGTAAAAACTAAAATGTGACGAAAATTGTATTCATTTTCGTCAGACGAGAACGAGACGAGACTAAATTGTTGTTAGGTGGATGAACAAAGTTTGAAAACATGTTTTTTTTTTGTCCTGACAGTCACGCCCCCATCACAAAGGCACCAAAAGCCTCGCTCGCGCACAGCTGCGCGCACACACTCATACACATACACAGAGCGGCAGGTGGACGAGGTGCGCACACACACACACCGTGGCGGCAGGCACAGCAGCGGTACCCGGTGGCCGAAAAAAGAGGGATGATTTATGGTCCTACTTCAGATACAGTTCAAGTGACAATAAAACACAATGTCTTGTACGGGGACGGGGAGATGAGACAGATGACAGTTGTGGAGCCACAGCTTCCTCATGCTGCGGCTTCAAACTGTCGGGAAAGAACACCACGAACCTCAAAAGGCACCTTTTCGTCGACTAAAACTAGACTAAAACCTTTTGAGTTTTCGTCGGACTAAAACTAGACGAAAACTATCAAGGATAGAAATGACTAAAATGGGACCAAAACGAAGAAGCATTTCGTCAAAATGACTAAGACTAAAACTAAATCTAAAATGCCTGCCAAAAACAACACTGGCTTACAGTGACAATTGTTGAGGAGCTGCCCTCTGTCACCATCTTGTGGCATTACTGTCTTCAGACATCTCTTGATCGCTCTGACTACTTCATGAAAATAGTAATACGCCTCGCCTGTGGCAGATTTAAAGGCAAGGAGAGGAGCTTATGTGATTGGTGAAAACAGGTCTCAGCTGTATTAAACCCCCTCCACGCCCTTTCTCCTCCCTTGCTACGACTTACGCCGCTGGGAGGAGCTGAGTTAGGGAGGGGGGATACTTACACCGGGCTGCGCTGCTCACCAAAATACCAAATTGTGCTTGAGAACGCCTTGTCGGCGCAGCGGACCTGACTTACGCCGTGCCTGCGGCACGTCTCCGGCGAGGCACGAAAATAGAGCCCCTGGTGTTCATCTGACATTATTCTCCAGCAAAAACAGATAAGTGAGCTTCATGTAACACCTGTGGCCAGATGTGAACATCATGTAGAAAGTCATTGGTAAATACTTAGATGCTGTTATAGAAGAGAAACTGATAGGAAAGAGGACTGCTAAAAAAGTACTGGCACACCAGGGAGTTAAGTGGTGGTTTGCACTGGGGTGTACCTGCCCAGTTAAAGCACTGGCCTGACGAAATGAGAGTAGGCCTACTACCTGTTAATGTAGAAGGTGTGTAGTTTCTAAAAGTTCAAAGGTTGTCTTGTACAATCTGGATGGTAGTGTTGCCACCTGTAGAGCAGTGTCTGTGATTGATGTCTCTTAATGCCTGTAAGACAATTGTCAATCAATGTATGCATCATTGGACAAGTTGGTCACCACAAGGTAACTGTAATTATTAGTTTAGAAATTATGATCAGCCTTTAGCCTCTAACTCGGTGTTAAGGTGTGTTTGACCCTAATTTAACTGCTTTTAAGAATGAACGCTATTTTCTTGAACCTCCTCGCTCTGACGTCTTCTGTGTAAAGTCAGTCTCTAGATGCGATACTACCTAGAAATGCTCTACAGCAACACCAGCAGCTGGCTGACCTCCTCGCTCTTCCTGCCGAGCAGAACAAGGGGGATTTCAATGAGACTTAATATATTGTTACTTGCGGCTGAAAAATCAGAACTTTCTGAGGAAAAAAGAAAACAATACATTTTTCAGAATTGATAAAATTGCTCAGCCCTAGCTCAGTGTGGACCTGGTTCCTGCTGTTTCTGCATCCATAGACCTGCAGTTTCATTTCTCCTGCCTTTTTTTTTTCACTGTAAACTTGGTGAGAACTATGAGCAGAAACATTGAGCATTCATACCAAGTTGCATGCAGAATAGCCTAGTGCGAGACACTTCACATTCATGCCAGATTATATTCAGGTTTTGTACACATGCAAAATAAATGAGACACTGACAAAGTGACAAAAAGTGTTTGAGATATTTTAAGTTTCTTCTTCAATTATCTAACACCCAAGAAAGACTATTAGGGCTTTTGCATCAGCATGTGTTCATTTACATTTAAAAATCCAGAGAACAATTCTTTCACTGTCCTGTCCTGCGTCAATAATCGGTGTAAAAAAAAAAAAAAGACAGTTAAAACGCACCTCAGACTAAGGCCCGAACTACACGTATATGGATATTTATTTATCAGGATATTTTTGTACTCCCGTCTAAATAAATGTATCTGTCCACACGTGTTAGTTCTCAAAAATATCTGCGTCCACACGTAGCCTAAAAAAAATTCAGGAACAAAGCTACCTGATTGGCCGATGAATCGTAACAGCGTGATGCGTCATGCATTGTTTGCGGAAGCTACGCTAGTGCGTCGGGTCCATGTGACGGACCATGTGACCAATAAAAGTATTGGCCGCAGCAGACGCGTCTGTGAGCTGGCTGACTGGTGGATGTAATTGTATAAAACAAGGTTCACTTGCAAGGCTGAAATTAGCCCCAAAAGGGCAAAACAAACGTAAAGAATACCCTGTCTGTCCGCCATCGTTGTTGTTGTTGTTTTTCTTTTTAATTCGCATGCGCGAGCTGCGGTTTGAGGTCATCGATCCGTAAAAGTCCAACCACACGAATCCACTACGGATACGGGATACGGATATTTTTTTATCTCTCCACTTGTTTTTCCGGATTCAGATTTATCCGGTTTGAGTGCTCCAAACTCCCGTTTTGGTGTGGTAGGGAGGCCTAATCGGACATAAATATGTGCGGTTTGAAATATATCCGTATTCGTGTAGTTCGGGCCTAAACCACTGCCAAAAATTCCAGGCTTTTAGGTCATAAATACACCCGGGACGCAATAACCAAAGCACAAAGGTGTTATTTGAACCATCTAGTCCAACCTGTTAAACATATTTCATACTGCCCTATAATTAAAGGGATAGGTTTATTTTTGCCTTTATGTGACACTGCATGAGGTACTTCACAGGGAATTGCCTTTCAGTTTGAGCACTTTGTTGATGTAACCCAGTGTTATTTTATATTCATTTCTTAAGTGAATTTGAGTCGTTTTGATGAGTTTTGTTTTCTATGCACAATGAATGCATCACAATTCCGCGAATGGCAGTCTCTGGCAAAGTACTGTTTTTTCCAATTGCTTTTGAATGCACCGCCAGTGTGCACATGGCAGCTCCAATTAGAGGGAGCGGTAACTTTCTTAATTTTTCGTTCTGAGTCTGACTCACACCTACCGTCAAGTGACACATCTGAGGAAAGTGGAAGTTTCGGCTGAGTCTGATGCAGGGTTGTGTTACGGACCGGGCCAGTACTATAGCACAGGTTAGAGCTTTACAGTAGGCCTAAATATGGGCTAACATCCCAGCTCAGAGTTTGAAATAGTTGAATAGATAAATTATGGGGCGAAAAATGAACAATATTCATATTTCATTCATTTAGGATGTTTTCTTTTTCTTTGCAGTCTTACAACACAGAAGAAAGACGGTCAATGTGATTGTCGGCGTTATCAAGCCCATGACAGAACTCATCAGATATTGTTAAGAAGTTCAAATCTTACATTTTCCATGGCCAAAGTTTATGGAGGATCTTTCTGAAGATTTTGGGAGTCTTTATTTCAAATCAGTGAGGATCATATCCGCAGTTGAAGTGATAATTTGCTTGGCGTAAAGATTTGTTGAAAATTGATCTTGCTCGTTCTAGGTTTTGTTTATGTTTGAATTCTGTATCTAATGATGCACGTGGAGCGGAACCATGGCAACCATGACACGCTCACATACTATAGTGTGAGCATGTGCGATTTGTGGGCACCTCACAGTCCTTACAAAGGCAGCAAGAGGAGGCAGACTGTGTAGTTGTTCCGAGGATTAAACTTTCTCTGGGACTCTGCTGGTCAGGGCAGTGGCAGAAAGACTTGGCTTACATGGGAAGTGACGCTTGAACCTGCAAAGAACAGCCACAATATGAAGGTTAGAATGAAAACAAATGTTTTTTAGCAGAAGATATAACAAGACAAGGTAGATTTACATTGTGCTTACAGGAAGTACTGCTGGCATTTACTGAAATGACTAACCTTGAAGGTTTTGAAGGCATCTTGTTGTCCAGTGATGGTAGAGACTCATGTTGGGTGTCAGAGTTTGACAGAGATCACTTTTATACATGTGGACTGCAGCTTTGAGTGATGACTACAGTTGTGGGCCACTGCAGTTTGTTGACAGAGGCTTGAGTTGGAAGCATTTGTGGCAGCTTCCTCCAAGAAAGATCACAGTTGAAGGTAGAGGCTGATGTTTTCTTGCAGTGACTGTGACTTATAGTAGTGATAGAAGTTTACAGGCTGCGTCGGTAAATGATGCTCTTGTTGAGTAGAAGCCTGGGCTAAAACAAACAAACCTTCTGTCAGTATATCAAGAGACTCAGCAGAGGTTTTGGTTGTAGGGCTTGGATGCAGCTGTCCAGAATCTTCAGCTTGAGGTTAATATTTGGTTTATCGAGACAACATGTTCCAGTGTAGCCTGTTCACTAGCAGCCAGTGTATCCCAGAGACTGCAGATGGAGGTATTAGTTCAATTTGTTAGCCTTTGACTGCACAAGATAAAGGCTAATGTCTGGAGCTGAAGACACTGATGGCAGTTTTTGTTTACATTTCATTGGCAAAGATGAGAGCCTGGTGATTCTTGACAGCAGTGTAAACTGAAGGCTTAAATTTGGACACCACAAACTGTAGGTAGAGGCAGCTGTAGTTTGTTTGCAGAGGCTTGGGTTGTCCTGGCAGTGATATCATCTTTTCTCTCTTTTTGTTAAGGTGGAGGAAGAGACTGCTGATATCTAGCAGAGACTTCAGGATCTAAAGACTGTCAGCACAGATGGAAGGTGGAGTCTGCAGCTGGGTGTGATTTTGAGACTGCAGATGAAGACACTGGCTGCTGATGTGTGTCAGAGACTACAGTTGACTACAGGTGTGGACCAGAAACTGCAGGTAGAGCCAAGTGCTGATTCCTGCAGAGACTTGTGGAGACATCTGTTGAAGAGATTGACAACAGCATACTGTTAGTTATAGATAGCGGTTGACTCTGGAAGAATGTGAAGCAGTTCTCTAATGTGTTGTGCATTTTGAGGATGTAACTGAAATCATTGCAGGTGGTAAGAAGACAGTTGATTTTTGACAGAAATCCTGGGTATGGTACAGGCTTTATGATAAGTTAGACACTGCTTGTGTATAGAAGAAAATCTTCAAAATTCTTCCATATATGATTTTAGCTTCCCTCAGTATGACGAGCATGTGCTATTGGAGGCTGGTATTTTCTATCAGTGGCTCCAATTTGAAGCACAAGCTAAATTTTTGGGGTTGAGTTTGGAGGTGATGCTTTTGGTTGAACAGGTTGATTGCAGTTTGCAGGTATGTTATGGCTGTTTGTGTTTGATAGAAATTCTGGGCATTAATGAAGCAATGGGCTGCAGCTTCAGGCTCCGACTGTTGGTTCCCTGCAGGAGCTCCTTTCAATACTGATGGATGTAGTTGTATAGCTGAGTAACAGTAACCAAAGGCATTCAAAGATCACAAACAGGAAAAGACTGGAGGCCAAGACTTATACTTTCTTTGAGACTCTGCTTGTCAGGGGAGCGGTAGAAGACTTGGCTTACATAGGAAGTGATGTTTTAATGCAATCTTCATATGCCCATTGGCTGTTTAAGTGTAAACCATAGAAAACATGAACCTCCTAAGAACCTTTAAAAATGGAGCTGTACAGAAAAAAGAGGACTTGAGCACAAACCAGTCTTACAGTAACTACATGTCAACACCCCAACCAGGAAGGAGAAAAATGTATATTCTGTTTAATAAATTTCTAAAGTTAGTCCACAGTGCCATAAGCTTTCCTGAAGGAGGCAGGATTTATAACCTCTACTGCAGCCCGTCACCAGAGGGTGCTGTTCTCAGAGTGGCTTCACCCAGCTAGGAGGCAGACGGCGTCCATTCTATAAACAGTCTCTGTACGCAACGCATCCTGTTGGTTTTGGGCTTAAGACAGAAGTGGAGCAACACATTACTTTACAAACTAAACTAATTAACCAGTTTACCCATCCTCATCCAGTCCTTATGATGCCCAAATTTAACCCATAACAACAGCCCTGTGACCAAAGTGTTCAATCATCTCTCAGAGGGCTAATGCAGCTAGCTCACTGGCAGTCTGCTACTTCTTCTTCGCCTAGCCTATGTTGAATGTTACTTTGTTTTTTTTTAGGCAAAATATTAACATTCAGTTATTTAAAGAGAGAGTTATTATCAGTAATGGTAAATTGAAAGTATCAACAACAGGGTCGATTAGACGCCATTTAGTAAATATAATAAAAAAAAGTGCTGCATCTTGAAAGGACCTAAATAGATCCAGACTTGCAAGGCTGTTGCTTCTTTTTTAAAAATGCCCCACAAAGGGGAAAAACCAAAAGACAAGCAAACATTGTCTCAGACTATTTTTCACCATAAGATTGCTTTAGACTTGAGTGTTTGCTAAATTCAACTGTAACATAGCGGCACTGGAACATTTGGGTAAAAAAAGGGAAGTTAAGCTGAGTCTCAAAACTTCAGAAACCTTTTCTACAACAATCAACTTTGTGAATTGTGTGAATGCAACTACCTTCTATGCGACATTAGCATGTGATTTACTGTGGATAGAGGCCTCATTAAGGAGACCTGAAGAGGAGAGCAGCACTCTATAATAATGTGAAATATCGTGTTGTCTTGTGCACTTTTCAGTTATCCAGATCATGTTATATTTTTACTGGACAGACTGCTTAAATAAAAACATTCTTTATGCACCAGATGGCAAAAGGCCACCTCATCAGAAATATAATGAATTCACTTCGCTGAACTTGGAGGTTTATTGCATGCAATTATAAGATGAATATCTTGGCATGTGCATATGTGTTTGTTCATAGGATATATGATGCGGTGACATAGTGGTCATGAATGTGCATACAGGTTCATATGACTACATGTTCTCCGCGTTGATGTATATTTCAGTTTCAGAGGTTGCATTTCTAATTTGTTTATCACGAGTTAATTAAGAAAATGCTCAACGCCCGACTCCACTGCATCTCAAGGCCACAAGCACCTCATCACTCTGGGGGGTGAAGGCAGAGCGAGGAGACGGCTTGAACGGATGATCATTTTTCTTTTTTGTCTTATTTTTACTTCACTTTTAACTTCCTTTATTTACCCTTTTCATTTGTCTCTACCTCACTCATTGTGCTCAGTTTTTTTTTTCTCTTTTTGTGTTTTTCTTTTAACTGGATCCTTTTCAAACATCTTCATAACCCGCTTCTTAGCCTTCCCAAAAATGTGTCTCCCCCCACAGGCACACGTTGAAGCCTTTTGGATCTATTTAGATGCATACTTAATGTCAATTTCCTCAAGCACTTGAGGTATCTCCATTTTACTGGAATGCAGATTTGTCTAAAGTGTGTTTCAAAGTGACTCGATGCTCCCTGTGGTGCTGGGTAATTACTCTTGTGACTTGGCTACAGCTCAGCGACAGAGTGACAAGTGTCTCATTTTAACTACAGCTCACATGAAGTCATTTCATTGAAAAAACAAGTATAAAGAAGGAACGAGGAACTGGAAAAGTCGATAGCTGGAGGCAACACAAAATCACACAGAGCATGATACTTTGAATGCATAAAAAGAATAAACCCCCTCCCCCCTTTTAAGATGTTAGCTGGTTCTATATGAGATTGGTTGTTTTAAAGAAGTCTGAGCTTCCTTTGTTTGGCTCAAGGATTTAAAATGAGTCCTCCTGTAGATGTCCTTTGACACAGGGTTTGGCTCCAACTGAAGTACAAGTCTTCTCCCAGAGGATATTTCTTTTCAGGGAACTTTATACCTTATTGATGTACAGCAAACAAAGAGTAAGTTGGGCTGAATTTAGGGTTTGCTTTTGAGCCTTGCATGAGGTTAAATAAATTTGGCCACACCATAAAAATATTCACTTCTGAGCAAAAATACACCAGGGACCTGTTAGACCCAAGCTCTCAAAGCTATTTGAGTGACCGTATGGACACTTTAGATGGCAGTCAAAAGGAAATCAAAAATTGAGAGCCAACTGAGGCCAAAACCTAAAATCCTCCTCAGGGGATGTGAAGTCCAAACCAGAAATGAGACCTTTAGACTTCACAGGACCCCAGAGAGATAAAGAGGTACAGTCTGGATATCTTGGTGACATGAGAAAGTTACTGTTTGAGGGTCCTGCGTTCATGACATGAGAACATCCTCACACATGATGAAGCCGTTGTGATCTCCAAAGAAAAAAACATTGTGCTGTAAATGGAACAAGGCTGGCTCACAAGACTTTGTCCCAAGATGGACATCAGCAGACAAACTATGACGCAGGAGGTTGAAAAGATGAACTTGTCGTAGGGAGAACATGCTGTCAGGGACACAGTGCAATGGAAGAAGCTCACTGAGGCCTTCGGTCCCATCTGGGATGAAGAGGAGTAAGGAAGCATCTCATAACTGCTGGTTGAGTGCGTTAAATATAAACAAAGATGGAAAACGTGTAAACCTCTAACAGCTGAGCAGAAGTGAAGCCAAAATACAGCATGAGTGGACCTGCCACCTAGGACAACTCTGGAGCTGGAGTCTGGGAAGTAAGGATCATCTGTGCTGCAGGAAGCACCTTAGTGATTAGAGCTGTCAATCATGGCCCTATTAATCAATTAATTAATTAATTGATTTTTCAATCGATTAATCATCAGTTAGTCAAGCTTTATTTATTTTAAACTTTTTGTTGAAATCAAATGCTAATTAAAGAGCTTAACAGGGATTAAAACTCCCAAAAATCTTTTAAAAACGGAGCTTCACAGAAAAAAGAGGACTTGAGCACAAACCAGTCTTACAATAACTACATGTCAACATCACAAGCAGGGTGGAGAAAAAATTATGTTCTGTGTAATAAATTTCTAAAGTTTGTCCACAGCCCCATTTGCTTTGCTGGCGGAGGTGGGATTCATGACCTATACTGCAGCCTGTCAACAGAGGGTGCTGTTCTCCGCGTGGCTTCACTCAGCGAGGAGGCAGACGGCGTCCATTCTATCTACAGTCTATGGTACAGACTAATGCATACCAATAGCATAGAAATCCATGTACGATAAAAATGGATTAAAATATCAAAC